TAGGAAGGAAAATGGTCTTAGACAAGTCGGACAGGTTTCATGGCAACGTGGAGAGTGTGGCCCAAAGCAATTCCAGCCTTCCGCGCGAAGCTCGCGGAGCTCGCGCCACGCGTGCGTCTTCACTCCCCAGGCGTCCGCTTCCAGGTGCCGGCCTCTGAACCAATGGTTAAACAGCCTCTTGGTGGTTTTGAAATGTAGGGGCTGGTTCTTTGAAGGAACGTCTTTCATTCCAGGTTCCAGCAACGGCTTTCATTCCAGGCCCACACACCCGAAAGACCTCATTGCTATGGTCTGTTCAACTAAAACGTGTGATCTGAATCAGGGGTAGTTCACGTCTACAATATTTCCATTGGCTTGCCTTAACCTCTTGGCCGATTTGGAAATGCATTCAACTCCCGTCTTCAAATCTTCACCATGTTGGGTCTGAGAGGCAATGGGCGAAGCGTTCAGACTGACGCCAGCCGAATCAAGATTTGTCCGTTGATTTTGGCATGCCCCCGTTTTGTTGGGGGGTTGAAAGCAAAGAACCCACTAGGACTCCCCCGGCCCCCCCCCGAACGGCCAGCGTTGGTTTGACTGCGGACTTTGAGGAGACAGCACCTCATAGGGACTATCGATGAGCTACTTTTCTTAAGCTTCGCTCCACACAAGGACTCGAACGTCACTCAGGTTCACAATGTATCTATGTTCAATGGATATTTGGTATCCCTGGAAGTCCCTTGAGCCTCATGTTTTGGATACCCCAAGTGCCTGCGGATTGTTTTTTTTCTAACAGTGCTGAAAGGGTGCAACAATTGGAATCAGTTGCGGCTCAGCATCCAAAGTTTTGCCTTGATGGAAGATGATGGAAGTGCGATGCCATTTGGGGTGTCATAGTGCTCTGTTTTCTTTTTGCGGGGGGGGGGGGGGCGGAGAAGGGGGATCGTGCTTCCAAATCGTCTCAACCATTTCTTTGTGACTTACAAAGTTTGTTGCACCCACTTTACCTCTTGTTGGCCAAAACGCTGGTTGCGGAGGGTGTCCAAAACTAAGGCTGGCCTCAACTGAAGTTTGTCTTTTGAGCGTCTTGCTCCAGGCCAAACGATTTTCCCATCTCGTGACATCAAGATCGCAGAGAGACAGCTTGCCACCATTGGGAACCATCAAAGGCCCCTTCAGGAAAGGTTCGTACACATTAGAGATTCTGAGCAAGGTTTCGAGAATCCTTCTCTAGCCCAGTGATGAGAACACATCAGTTACACTCATATATATATATATATGTTTGACAGAAGGTTGTACATATTGTCTGCATCTGTCGCTAGCTTCTGGGATTCCAAGAGCCTAGTGCCCCTTCCAGCAAAATACACACTCGCCCCACTAGGTCTGTCCTAAGGACACGTTGCTAGAAGAAGACAGATAATACATATTATATAGATATAATATATATCTATATATTTGTATTGAGATGGCTTAGTGGTCCAACAGCGTCTGCCTGAGGGCACCGAATTCAGAGCCGAGGTGCATTGGGAAATCACCGCTCCTCTCTCTGGATCATATTTGAGGCCTTGGTATGAAGAAACTCGCACTTCCCTGAAGATCAAAAGTTTATTTCAGCCTTGGCGCGGATAGTTCCAACACGACTCCCTTCCTGAATGGCCAAGTTTCTTTTGCCGGAACTCTCATCATTGGTCACGGGACCTCAAACGGGTTCTAACAGAAGGGCTCCAGCTTGCACTGTGTATCGCGTCCGAAAGGAACCCTTTTGTTAGAGCCCTTTTAGGGCCACGCATATATTGGCAATGCATCTGCCCATCCTGGTTGATCAACTCCGCCTCCAGCCAGCCATCTTTGAAATCTAACGTGCCGCGGTGATGGATACCTCTTCTCCTTGCAACTGACAGGTGCCATGGTCAAAACCCGAGATGTGGCTTGGCGCGCTGCCTTTGAAAGGGAAAAAAAAGGACGTCCATAAATTCGGAGTGACCATCCGTGTGACCATCCCTATGAAGCCCAAAGCATAGCGGCAACTTGCAGCAGAGCCGCTGGTCCTTGCGGTCACGGCGGTCACAATGTCATGCTATGGCGAGAATGCCATGCCGCTTGAGCTTCGGACCCACTCGTGGAATTCCGGTCGACCGTCCATCTCCGAGATCGAATAGGACATCCTCACTGCGAGAGCCGTGCTGTGCATGGGGGCCATGGTCATGGGTTTTCTGAATTGCAATCCTTGCGTTTTGTCTAAATCCGAATCAAGGGCTTGACCATCCCGACCAGGTGACCAGGAGTCTTGACCGTGGCACACTTTTGCATCTCACGATCAATCAAAACAAAGCTGGACCGCAGCATGAGCAAGGATGCGCAAACTTCTCTGCTCTGACTCGTCCCAACATCTTCGTGAAACATTCCAACACCTTGTTCCTACTTCTGCTTAGTCTTTTAGGGAACAGCCAGTTCCCCCTGCTCTCAATTCCCGGCCTGCCTTACAGTTGAGAAAGGCATTTCTAAATCCGCCACTGTGTTGGTCTGCCATCATACCCGCAACTTCCCAAAGGTCCGCGGAACAAGGTTAAGCTTTTGGAGCCATGGCTAAACATGGACCAACCTGGGAAAACCAAAAGGTCAAAAGCTCGACTCGCTTTGGACAACATGTCAATTTAGAGGAGCCCAAAAAACTAAAATAACGTGGGTGTTCGTTTCCAGCGTTTGGTTTGGTTGCCACTACAAAAGGTGAATCGCCCCGAGCCAAGCCAAGAGTCCCAGTGTCATAGTGCCACTCTCCCAGCATCTCCGACACGTCGGCCTTGTGCGGCATCCTGGCAGAGATATTCGGGGCAATGTCTGCGCCACCAAAGAGCAAGCGTGTGTGATGGTGGAGAGATGTAGAGAGAGAGAGAGAGAATGGGAAAATCAAGGAACATGAAAAAGGCGAAAAGTTAAAAAGGGTCACGTAATCTGGCAGTGATTTGGGGCCTATTAAGAACCCTCCAAAGACACACGGAAACAACAACGAATGGGCAAGCGTGCAGAATCCAACATGAGGTTTTGCGTTGGGACCGGGGCTCTAAGCCGGCACTAGTGATCCCAACACATCATGTGCTCCGCCATTCTACAGTGGCACAATCCCAACATGTTGGTTGAGACATCCCTTTTGCTTAGGCACAGAAAGAAAATCGTGCCATGTGCTTTCACTTGGAGTTCCACTTTTTCTTTGTTCATCATTTTATAAGGGCAACCATGGCGGCCCCAGGTGGGCGGGTTGTTGCCCAACAAACAGAAAGCGTGGGGCACAGCGAGCGGCCATCTCGCCCAGGAAAAATCACCACCTCAAACAGGTGTCTCTCAAAAATGACCCCCCCCCCCCGAGTCAGAATCAAAACCCTGTGAAGAGACCTCCAACCGTGGGGTGGTCATTCATATGGCCAAGAAAGCGGCTTGGATCGGGGAGTGCGTTTTTTCCAAGTGACCCGGTTTCCCTCAAGACACCCAAAATCAACCAGGAGCTTACTCATTGGGTTCCCATGAATCCAAACCCAGTCATTCCACCAGTCCCACTTCCGACCGTCCAGCAAAAAGTTGTCAATTCGGCCGGGGTGGCCCCAAACTGGGCGCCGCTTTGGGTGTTGAAAGGAAACAAACATGAACCCCACCATTTGCCCAAACCCCCTCCGCTAAAAGTTGACACGAGGAAATGCACCGACAATGCCCCACTGAAGGTCTGGGTTTGACTGAGGTCCGAGGAAAAGGACAAGACAAGAGCAACAAAAACATCAAGTTCTGAAGACAGCTTTCAAAACGCAAAAAACAAAAACAACTGCAAAGACACAAACCACTGGACAGGTCGAAGGCGTCCTGCTCGTCGCTGGCGCCTGTAGCGTAGCCGCCGGCTGCTTGGAGCACCATCGAGAGGGACCCAACCGGGGTCTGGGCTGAAAAGCGAGCCAACCAAGCAGCCAGCCAGCCAGCCAGCCAGCCAGCCAGCCAGCCAGCCAGCCAGCCAGCCAGCCAGCCAGCCAGCCAGCCAGCCAACCAGTTCAGGCAACAAAAGAAAAGAAAAACCCAAGGCAAACGATCCAACCAATATGCAAACAAGAAAAGAAACAAGGAAGGAAGGAAGGAAGGAAGGAAGGAAGGAAGGAAGGAAGAATGGAAGAATGGAAGGGCAAGCAAGCAAGCAAGCAAGCAAGCAAGCAAGCAAGCAAGCAAGCAAGCAAGCAAGCAAGCAAGCAAGCAAGCAAGCAAGCAAGCAAGCAAGCAAGCAAGCAAGCAAGCAAGCAAGCAAGCAAGCAAGCAAGCAAGCAAGCAAGCAAGCAAGCAAGCAAGCAAGCAAGCAGCAAGCAGCAAGCAGCAAAGCAAAGCAAAGCAAAGCAAAGCAAAGCAAAGCAAAGCAAAGCAAAGCAAAGCATTGAGACAATATCAACTGAATCAAACTCATGCATGAGGCTGTGTGGAAACTGACAAAGGGCTTTCACTCATTTCGATTGGCCCAGGGGCTGTGCTTGAAGCAGGCGACGAGGAACCAGCAGCATGCGGCGGCGCCACATTATGGCGCAACATCAAGTACATCTGGATGCTTCGTAAAATAGGGAATCCTGAACATGATTGGTTTGCTTTTGGTGATCTTTTTATATAAGCAAATTCAATCACTAACCCAAAGGTCGTGTTCCCTGAGCAAAAAAAAAACACAAGATTGAAGAACAAACACAAATCACGTTGACACCTCATCAATAAACGCCTCCTACTACTCAGCGAGGGGCCCCGTATTCCACGCGCTGTGATGCCAGGAGTAACATCTTCAGTACGGATGACTTGTCATGTCGCGCTGCAGGGACAATCTGAAACAATACCCAAGGATTAACTTCCCTGCACATGCCACACTTGCAAGGTTCTGGTGTTGTACTGTATAGACTTATGAAACTTGATCTCGTGTACATCCGGATGTCTTCAAGTCGAAGCAAGCCGGTAGGCAAAACGGCGAATGTTGCACACTCAGCAATTTATGAGAGACAAATCAGCGCTCTGTCCTCATCAGATTGCGAGGCCTCAGGATGGAGAAAGTCAACGAGCAAGCAAGTGAAATAGAATCGCTCTCACCCTCGGTCACAATCGTGACAAAGTTGAGGCAAGTGACCCAAACGATCCCGCTTGGATACCCACCAGCCTAAAAAACAAGTAAACACCTAAGGCTGCGCATCAGCGCGGGAACCCGCTCTGGTGAGATGTTGTCTTGGATTTGGGCATTCTCACTTTTGGGCATGTACGCGAGTAATTAGGGGGCTGGAGTATCTCGAACATTGGGCGCAGTGATGAGGATGCATAAGTCAATGTAAAAACCAAAGAAGAACTGGCTACTGACCAAATACTGAAACGACTACTGGCCCCGCTCACAATTGCCTGCCTCGCGCACTCAAACACTGTAGGCATGTCTCTTGCCTCGTACGATCTTCAACGTTGCCTACCTCCGTTGTGTGTATGTGTGAGCCATCTAGGAGCCTCACCACTTGGCCGCTGCGCTGAAGACAACAAGGCAGAAAAGCTGCAGGGCAGTACATCTGTCCATGGAGACCAAGCCGAAGCTTTGGTCCACAAACTAATGGATATGATGCATCTTCTCTTGCGAGAGTTGCCCTACACAATCCTGGACCACACCCCGCACAATCCTGGACCACACCCCGCAAATCAACATGAACACCGGACAAATCTCGGCTCCCAATGACTATTTAAAGGGGTCTCGTGTTGCAAGGATCCCCTTTCTGAGGCTAAGCCTGAGGATTAGGTCTCGTGGTTCGGCCCCGCATGGTGGGATCCCCTAAACAAATCCCCCACACAAAAAAAAACACAATAACTCGACCTAGGCCTGAAACACCGCGCCGAAACAAGCCTCTGGCATAGGGAACTCCCCCTTTATGTGGTTTTGGTCCTTGACAACAAGAGTCTTGCGTAAAGGTCATTGAATTCTAGGGTCCAGGCAAGCAAGTGAGCCGAGAACCCACTCGAAGTATCTCCTCATCACATCAACTGGGACTCAAAGGGAAAGTATGGGGGTATAAAGTGACTATATAGCCAATGCATGTACGAGTTCCAGCGTTTTGTGTTTTTCTAACACTTCTCACTCTACAAGTATTGCGGGAACACAAAAGGCTCAGACATACAAGCCAAGGAAAAGAGGGAAGGGAGGCAGGGAAGAAGGAAAACAGGGAAGATGGGAGGGAAGGAGTAAAGGAGGAACAAGGGAAGAAGGGAAGAAGAGAAGAAGGCAAGAAAGAAAGTGAAGAAAGGAAGGGAGGTAACATCTCCTTGGGGGGGCAATGGTTTGGGGTTCTCATAGCATCTTAAAACAAAAAGCAGCCGTATATATATATATATAACCGCCACTTTTCGATGTTGCAATCCTCTCTAGATGAAGCTCCCTTGCTGCAGGAACTTCTGGATTGATGTAGGTAAATGACAATGTCTTTTGCAGAGTGAACAGAAGATTGCATATTGCAGTAGTACCGTATGGCACTATTTAAAAAAGGACATGAGTGAGTTCGTTGTACCTGCCAACAGGGCTCGCTAATATTAGTGCAAAAAGGGGTAACACAAGCACGTTACATGAGCCTTCTTGAACGTCCCTTCTCACTGACATCACAATTGTTGTTGTGCTCCATGTCGCGTGTTGAACACTCAGGCGTGCTTGACCGCTTTGCAAAGGAGAGCCTGTGACTCCATTCTTCTGCATTGCGAAGTGTCGTCAAAGCGGGGCATTGACATCATCGACGACATGTATAACTACTTGTTTCAGGTTCAGGCTATTGTATCAAGGCCCACCAGCCAACTTCCGAACCAACATGTACTACATGTTGGCACTCTAAATTCGACCCAGGGACCTTCACGGGTTCAAGCTCGTCTGGCCAAGGCCAGTATGGAAATTATGGCCCCAGTGTGTGTTGTTTCCTCCCGGTTTGATGGAAATCGTACTTTGCAATTCCAAACCCCTTTAATACCATGCAATCCCAAAAGTCTACCTGAAGGTCCCCAAACGGAAAATTATTTCCCCCTCAAGTATTTTGTATACCATGACCCTGTCAAAGCCCAGAAGTGCGACCCGTTTCAGGCCGAATTACTGTTCTGGCCGGAATAACAGGTTGACATCGCAACACAATTTCTGTCTTGTCTTGCGATGACAGCACCCTGTCTTCACTAGGTCCTCCAGTAGAGTGGTTAGAATAAGGGTGCCCTTTTTCCTGCAGTCTATTTTAGTAGAAGAACCCTCCCCAACAAAGGGTAAAAGGGCACTACTGCGGGACCTAGTTGAAGTTCGGACCAAGCCTAAGGACCCGGAAGGCAACTTCAGGGGCCCCGGAGGTCCCAACGGCGCCTATGTCTTGGTCCTTCGCAGCTGTGGCGCGCGCCTGCGCGGAGTTCGCGACAGGGCGACACTACGCTGATTTCGTCGGCGAAAGGATGGAGGACACTGCCCCTTCTGATGGCACCCGTTTTAGGATTGGCTTTCTAAAGCCCATGTGGATGTCTACTCTGTCCAAACACGTCCAAATAACCAAGACCTGCATGGCAAAGTATGCTTTGGCCGAAACCCCGTGTTTGGATTCAGAGCGTGGCGAATAAGCCTGCTCTGAGGAGGGAGGTACTCACAGGACTTGAATAGATGGCAGCGGAAAATCTCAACTCGGATAGAGGTGGCTTTCCTAAAGGAATCCTTGCGCCAAAGTGGCCGGTCCTGGTTTCGGGAACAAGAGTATCCGGGACTCTTGTTGGATGGGATTGTCGACCCGGAACCTAGTTCTGCACACTGTTGAGCCACATCACTCCTTCTGCCAGGGGCGTCGGCTTGCAAGGCACAAGTTTGAGGGATCATGATTTAGGTCAGGGTCGTTTCGGGTTCAGCTTGTGGGTTTAGGCCTTGGACTGTTTTTCGGAGGGCCCAGGTTTTGGTAAAGGGTGGTCGAGCGGGGCTAGGCGTGCGCTTCAAGGGCGCGGGCTCAGGCTGGGTCGATGGACTGTATTCAACAGATCTCAACACGTAAGCTGTCGTGAGCCACAAACTGTCCGCAACAGATGAGCGCAGATGAGCAGGCTTCTAATTCACAAGCGATCCAGTACAGGGGGGCAGAAGCAATCCAACACATCACAAGCAACCCGCTCCCCACAGTGCATTACTGTAGGCACAACACCGAACATCTGGGGAACCTTCATGCCAGTTGGCGCCCGCAGTTCGTGCTGGGAATCCGGGCATCCTTCTTGTGCGCTTCAGATTTATCTTGCACAACAACAGCCCGTCTATGTGTTTTTTTCAGACTCACACCTGGTCTGAAACGGGTCTACCCAAAGCCATGGGTGATTCTGGGGTTCGATTTCGGGAACCTCAGAATTGGGGACCCTTCGATCACAAGTCTAGGGGTTGATTCCCCATTCCGATCAACTATCAATCTTACCAGCCATTTGTTTTCGGTGTTTGTTTTTGTTTCCCCCGCACACAACCAAAAAAACACATACATCCTATAGAACGGGCAAGCCATACCTTGACTCACATTCTGGTTTGATCATGGCACATAGCAACTAGCAAAATGACTGGCCTATTCCGGAACGCTGACAACAAAAGGCTCGACTCGACTGAAAGACGGCCCCAAGGCCTCTGCAAGCTCTTCCTGCAGTTTCTGCCAGAGCAGTTGCAGAGTGGCCTGGCAGAAAGGGGATTCATCCCGGAGAGCGTCGTTCCGTGCCAGCTTGAGATACCCTTCTTTCAGGGCCGAAAGCCAAGTATCCAGATGCTTGCACCATCAAGCATGCGATCTTTTCCTCTGGCGAAATCGCTGCAGGAAACGCACAGTATGAAGATAAGTGTTGAGGGGTCGGCCCCTTGGATCCTAGACCTCCAGTGGCCATGGTACATCAAAAACAACTCGTCCAACACAATTTGGAACAAATCCGCATTCAGGCAGTAGGACAAAAGAAGGTTCACCCAGCAAAAAAAACCAACAGTCAACACCACAATGGGAAAAAAAGGAAATAGGTCCACTGGAGGTCTGCATTCTTTGCAGCTCCAAGCTGCAGAACAATACACTTGCTGCCTCGTGCAGCTCCAGCTCCTTGCTCGGATCTGGGGTGAGCAAATGGGATGCGCTGCCGTGGTCCATTCGCAAAACATACTCGAGCCAATCACAGCTGACAAAAGCCTTCTGCAAACTACTTTCCGTCTGGAAAAAGAGGGTAATGGCATTGGTAACTGATGAGAACTGACCTGTGCCACAAAAGTTGGACCAAACCTAAATTGGAATCTGGCAAATGCTATCCCGCAGTGAATTCAACATGCCGGAAACTCATGGGGACATTCCGGCATTCGCCGCAACTGCACTCTGCTGACGCGTCGGCCGCTTTTTCACAGTCGGATCTGAGTTTGGCTAGTCACGGCTGTTGCGATCCAATGGCTGCCGATCAAAGTGCTCACTCTTTGAATGAAAGCGTCTCAGTCAGTATATGTTTAGCCAAATGTATCCCCCTTAAAGTTATGCCCTGTGCCATGTGCTGTAAGCTCTTGGAACACATGCTGACTTTGTTGCGTGCACTGAAGCCATTGGACGACCTTGCTTTGGGAATCACTTTGCACGCTGTCTTGCAAATTCTTCTCTGAGTGGCCAAGTTTTAGATGAAGCCCAAAGGAGACTCCATGCAATGCCTGGTTTCGAGGATTCGGGTGTAGTTGTTGATTAGGGGCTCTTCGCTGAGCAAGTTTACACGGGGATTTCGTCCAGCCGCCATTGTGCAGGGTTGCACTATTTCAAGTCTGGCATAGGCCTTTGGACAAAGGCCGGCCCACATGTCCCACTCATTAAAACATTTCAGCTGCAAACTTCTTTTTTGGCAAGGCTATGCGAGGTTGTCTCTAAGGTGGTTGGACCTTTCAAACTGCCCCAAGAAGGGTACCCCAGAAAGCCCAAACACTCCTGGTAGCCTGTCTGGCTTTCAACAACATTTGTGCTTGGCATCGGCAAACATCTTTCCAAAAAGGACACCCACCAAATCAAGAAAGGGTGTCTACAACCGCCCTTGGAAACGAAATTAAAGTTGGAACACTCAATAGGACCAATGCACGGAGATCGGCAGCCGCGGCCCAGTAAAGCTGACTGAATTAGGTGCTGTCCTTTACGGACGCGGGCAGAATGGAAAGGAAGCACATAAGCCATCATGCTTCTTTGGTGGGAACCCTTGCAACGGTCCCTATGGGTGTGTCGTTTTTTGAGGGAAACCGTGTTTGTGGTAATTGAACGGGAAACCCAAAGGAAACCAACTTGAAGGATTTATAACCAGCCCAAACCCCAAGAAGCCGGGTCCTTTGACCGTGGCACACATGCGCCTCCACTTGTGTTGGGCTAGCACTGTGCTTGATCCACCCTTGCAACAACTAATAAGACCTTGCGATTCCTGGACTTCATGCTGACTTGTTTTGCACCTCAGAGCACTTTGAGCAGGGTTCCTCTCGTCAGGGTTGTCCCTCTGCAGAGCTCTCTGCAAAGCAATGTGAATTTTAACTAGGGACCCTCCGGTGGGCAGCATTTAGGTGTCGGATTTCTTGCCACCAACGGGAGGAGTTTCCTGCATGCCTTCCGTTCCTGCCAAGACAGGGCCCTTCCTGGACGCCCGCCTGTTTGCGAGTCTGTTGCCGCCTAGATGACTCATGAATTGTTGCAGCGAAAGGCACAGAACCCACGGCACGAGATAGAACACCAGGCTTTGGAACTTCGTCTCCAAAGGGTTCCGGGAAAATAACAGGTCTTCCGTTCTCGCTGCTCTTTACTTCAGGTAGAATGACCACCCCAAAGAGACACACCCATGAAATTATGAAAGGGTGTCTTCCCTGCCCCCCCCCCCAGAAAAAAAAAGGAGAAAAGGAACCATGGTCGAATGTCCTTTAACTGCACACACCCATCAAGAAACTGGGTCATTCCTCTTGCGACAAACATGTATGTATGTATGTATGTATGTATGTATGTATGTATGTATGTATGTATGTATGTATGTATGTATGTATGTATGTATGTATGTATGTATGTATGTATGTATGTATGTATGTATGTATGTATGTATGTATGTATGTATGTATGTATGTACATATATATATATGCCTACCACACAGATATATGTATATATACATATGTATATATATATATATATATATATGTATGCCCCCGCTGAAAGCGGGAGCTGCCCCGGAAGCAATTTTTGTTTAACTATGGTTTCTTCTGCGGACGTGATGCTCGAGGCGAGAACCAATTTAGTCTATGGATAGCCACGACCGCTCTGGGGCTAAGGCGGGCAGAGGCGGCTCCGAGAAGTTGGTGTGGTTCGACTTCGTGGGGTTTAGGGGTCGTGTGCCTTGTTGCTTTGCCTGGCGCTACGCTGCCAATGTCAGTCTGAGCGCAAGACTCGGTGAAAGCAGTGCTGTTTGGAACAGGCGCGGGTTGTTTCGCCTAGGGGCCCAGGATTTCCAACTTCTTGGTTTTGTCGTCCAGCCCGTGGGGCCAAAGAAACATGTTTTCCGAAGCAAGGCATTTTGGAAGTTTCCAGCTCAGGGTTGCAGATGTTCCAGCTCGTTTGCCCCGGTGCGGGTTGCAGCGGGCGGGTGGCTCGGCACGGGTGCGGGACGACCGCGCGCACTTTCGCGATCGTGACAGGCGCAGCGGTTCGCCAACCTGAGGTGCAAACAGGGGGGCAGGCGTAGCACTTGCTTGGATTGATGACCAGATTTTGTGACAGTTGCAACGCTTTGAGCAAGCGCAGTTTGCCACACACACACACGCGTCTCAAATGCACCGCGACACATTCCTCTGGGCGACAAACAGCCAAACCTCCCTGACACCGCCGAACAAGACCAGCGCATCATCAGCCCCAAAATCTTCGTGGCACCCTTGCAAACGCCAAAGTGGAGTGAGTGGAGTGAGTGGAGTGAGTGGAGTGAGTGGAGTGAGTGGAGTGAGTGGAGTGAGGGAAGTGGGTGGAGTGAGTGGGGTGAGTGGAGTGGGTGGAGTGAGTGGAGTGAGTGGGGTGAGCGGGGTGAGCGGTATGGGTGGCGTGGGTGGCGTGGGTGGCGTGGGTGGCGTGAGTGGAGTGGGTGGAGATGGTGGAGTGAGTGGAGTGTGTGGAGTGAGTGGAGTGAGCGGAGTGAGTGGAGTGAGTGGAGTGAGTGGAGTGAGTGGAGTGAGTGGAGTGAGTGGAGTGAGTGGAGTGAGTCGAGTGAGTGGAGTGAGTGGAGTGAGCGGAGTGAGTGGAGTGGGTGGAGTGAGTGGAGTGAGTGAAGTGGGTGAAGTGAGTGTCGTGAGTGAAGTGAGTTGAGTTGAGTTGAGTTGAGTTGAGTTCAGTTGAGTGGAGTGGAGTGGAGTGCAGTGAGTGATTGAGTGAGTGGAGTCAGTGAATGAGTGGAGTCAGTGAGTGGGAGTGGGAGTGGGAGTGGGAGCGGGAGGAGCGGAGCGGAGTGGAGTGAAGTGGAGTGAGTGAGTGGAGTAGGGAAGTGAGGGAGCGAGGAAGTGACGGGGTGAGAAAGAGCAAGAGTAAGAACATATAGTTCTTGAATACGATTGAAGCTTCCGCCAACTGACTTCGCCAGCTCGACTGGCTATATGTAGATGATTGTGTGTCTATGTGTGTGTGTGTGTGTGTGTGCATGTATGTAAGTCCATGTATTTTGCTGTACATAAGCATACCGTGTCCGCCTGGGTACACGTGTGTGTGCGTACATACACATTCACGCGAAGCACCAACTTCGGGTGTCCCCCTATTTTGGCCCTCACTCCTTCGAGGTCTTGGCTCGATGCCGACGACTCTCGGGATCTGGCACGTCCGGGATCTCCTCCACCTCGTGCGGGTCGTCGTGTCATGTCCGGGTATGTTAGCCCAAAGCGAGCGCCGTGCAGGCGCCCGGCCAATTTCATAACATGTTTGTAACGCCGGCGGCAAGCGCTGAAAAGCACCAGGCTTAATTATTCAAAACAAAAGTGGGGCGTTTGGACTCGCTTAGGCCCGCTGTGCAAGAAAATCAAAGCAAATCAACCATTTAGTCTTGCAGCGCTTGGTGTTTTCAACGCTTTCAAGCTCGCAAAGCGCTCCTTTTCAGTATAAGTGTAGCATGCGAAGCACACTTTCGCAGCTCCAGCTAAGACACACAACCTTCCAGTGCAAGCGCAATGTGTAAAGAGCTTTTTGGCAGCTCCAGCTCGGAAATTGCAACTTACAGTCTCGTGTTGTACCAAATCACAGCGAATTCATTTCACCTGGCTTTGCATGGTTGTCTACAAGCCTATCTCGTTCTGATCTCGTCATTTGCTTGGGTGGACCAACTTGTTTCACAGCGAAATCTCGACTGTTTAGGGCATTCTGACCGCATCAATCATAAACCATCGAATTCTGGCCACCCGCCAAAACACTGACGCGCAACATGCACCTCGCCAATGACAGCCTCCCATGTTTGGTCAACACTCAGGAGGATGTTGCCTCTATACTTGCTGCTTCCTGATGTTGCGAAGGGAATATGGGTTTTGCATCTGACTCCTCATGATGGAAACCCCACTCCATGGATTTACTGGAGGTTTCCATCTGATTCTGATTCCAAAGTCCATAGTGATGTGAACACCACGTCCTGCCACTCAGCAAGTGACAAACAAAAATCCGCGCCAGCAATTGGGAAAAAACAACACCGCCGCCTCCACTTTCATAGTTACAATTCGCCCCTTGTACCCACGAAATGGGAATGGCTGTTTATCGGCGCTTCCGCCCCTATTACATTTGATAGGGGAAGCTTTGGGACCCTGCTCACTTACCCGTCGAATCGAGTCGAGATGCCGCGGGCGAGTAGAACTTCAGGCCCGGCTGAAGCGTGAGGGGCTGTGATTGAAAGCCAGGGCGTCGATCCTGCAAATACTTCGAGGCGAAGGCGAACAGGGCTCTGTTTTGAAGTGGTTGCAAATGGGGAACCGGCTTCTTGGATCTCAAGGGAAACAAAAAGGAAGCCAATTACTTGCAGGAACCCCTGTTTGGAGACGTGTTGGGCGTGCCCCATGGGACAACCTCTATAAATGGTGTCGGGGAACCCCCCCCCCGCGGCGAGCTAAACACTTTCCCTGGGTTTGCCTCCAATCAAGTTCGGGGATTCAGGAATTACTACTCAAAGCCATCTCCGAACCAACTCTCTAAAGGGGAACTTCCCTTGGCATGGTCCGGCTTGAGTTGGCATCCCCTCAGATTGCCTTCAAAAGCAACCCAAACATGCAAATTACGTCTACCCTCGCAAAAATAAATAAATAAATAAAACGCCCTGGGCCAAGCACCGCAAGAGCGACAGCAGGTTTTTCTGCTTCAAGTCGTGCTGCGGGCGATTGATAATTCACGAACCCAAAGCATCATGCGTGTCGATGGAAACAAACACCCTTTGTGGGGTGTGGACTCCGTATGGCTGTGGGTCACAAATGGGTGCCCAAAATGGAACCCTGGTAAATGGAACCCTGGTAAATGGAACCCAGGATTAAAACCTGGGGTCCCCGGGTGGTTTAGTTTTGACCCACACCCATATCATTTGGTGCATTTTCTTGAGCCATGCGGTGTGCATGCATTCCAGGCAAACAGTGCACATCAAAATAAGAAAACATTAGCTTCTGTGTAAACAAAGGGCGACGTTACTTTCTACCCAAAACCCAAACACTTTTGACACTTGGGCAATCCTCTATCAGTGTTTGTGCAGCGATCTGCATCACTCGGCCGTCACCAGTGCAAGATCAAGTTGGCATCGCCTTCATCAGAACACTGAACAGATCTGAACAGCAATCCGCAAAAAGAGGCTTTGCTTTGGAAACCACAGTTTTTTCGTGCTGCTTTCTTGGTTTGATCAATCTGAATCTTTCACTCACACGCCGTAGCTTCCAATAAGATCTGAGGGTCGATTCGGATCCGCCAAAGAGCCCCTGTCAACGGTGTCAGACTGCGTCACAAACTCATGGCACGGCATCAAAAGGGTGTCTTGTCGCATCATCGTTGCTCCTGTACTAGCCTTCATCACCCGATTTGACTCCAAGTGTGCATCAGCTGCTGGCAGTATTCCCAAGGGGTTCAAAGCTGTGCCCATTCCCAAAGTCACCCCTGAAATGGTGGGTTCAAGGACAAAGCCCAGTAAGTCTTGACTCTAACCATCCAAAAGGAGCAAACACAACCTGTGCAAAGGACCTCAAAAATTCAAGCCGTGACCAAACACGGTCTACCGGAAGAACTAAACAGTCAAAAGGTTGGGTCGGCCTTGGACAAAGCAAGCCCAAAGCCTCTGACTTTGGGTTCTTTGCTAACGTGGTCAAGGCTCCATCCTATTATGAAATAGGGGTTGTTCCCTCCAAAACTGACGGGGCGATTCGGCCAAAGACCGGCCAACAGGGAGCCCAAGCAATGTCTGGAGACGATTAGTAAACCCCCCTGATTAAAGGTTCCCCCTTTTCCCCCCAGATTCTCACCAATACTAAAGTAAAGTGCCAACAAGGTTTCCCCAAAAACCCTACCCAATTATTCTTGGGCCCTCCCCAAAACCCCCCCTGATTAAAGGTATCCCTCTGCAGCCCCCAAGCCAACAAAAACCTGCCAGAAAAGGTGCTTTCCTTCTTGCTTAGTATTTGCTTCGTCTGTGCTCAAACCCACCAATACTATAAGTCACTATTGAACCCCTCAAGTTGTTCCCAACAATTTGCTTCCCCCGAAATGCATTTGTCTTTATTAAAATTTGCTTAAAATGACAAGGTTTTCAAGCTCACAAAGGGGACCCCCCTTGGAGGCCAGTCCCCCCTCATTAACAGGAAACCCCCCGCGATTAATCAGGGCCCTTTTGGGCTCAAAACAAAAAAATGTGCTGTTGCCTTTTAAAGTCCTACTGCCCCGAAGGGACCAGAAGTAAGAGGACGAGGACCGAAGGGGCTCCAGAGGAATCAGGGGGGTCCTCCCACTCAATTTTTGGGACTTGTCCAAACCTTGCCGACCTTGAAGGGGGGGGGGGGGAGGGGGGGGTTTACTGTCACCATTACCGCGGTTTCCTGCAGCTTGGTCTTCTCAGGCTTCTTGCTCGCCTCCAACTGGCGCTCGAGCATCAGCCGCTTTCCTCAAGTCGAACCATGGGCACTTCATGCTATGGTTGTCCGAATTCCCCTCAAATTCATAACGATCTCGTCCATCCACACTATTGTTTGTCCGAATTCCCCAGGTGTTCATAACCATCCCTACCAACCCCAAGAAAAAAGGTCGTGCGACCATGGGTATGTGATGGTCAGCGAGTGCTTTTCCAAGCTGGCTCGAAGGAGCCAAATAGATATTCACAGCAGATATAGTAAATTCCCGAAGAGAGGCACCTTCTTCGAAAGCTCGCTTTACCCCCAGTTGAGCCATTTCTTATTTTGCCCAAATAATGTGAGCCACCAAAACAATATGCTGTCTCGTAAACGACATTGAACCATTGGTGAATTCCCCTGGCCACGCAAACGGAACATAGACTACGCAAGATCTTGACCACACCTCATACAGCCCTGTCCTTTTTGAAGTTGAGTCCCGGTTTCGGCAAAGGAAACCAACCATCACCACTAGTCACCATGCTTCGCCAACCTTTGAGACAGACTTGGACTTCCTGCAGAAAGTTCCATTTTTGCTGGTTGGACAAAACCTAGGAAAGCCAAAGAGGCGAACCATACATGGGAAGCTAAGACTTGCCCTCGAACAAATTCTGAGTAAGGGGCCTTTATCATGGAGCTTTATGTATTTCTGTCTTTCTGTCTTTCTGTCTCTCTGTATTTCTTTTCTTTCCTCACTTAGTTCATTTGTTTACAGTATTTTGCCTGGTATGTGTGTTGTTTGCTGTCTATGTATGTCATTATTGTTCTTTTCGTTCTTGCTGTTTGTGTTAGTCTTTCTTTCTGGCATTTTGTCGCTCTCCACGTCTCTGCCTCTCTCTCCCTCTGTCTCGTTCCGTTTCTCTGACAACCAGAGAACGCTTCAGTTCTGCGGCGTCCCTGCGTGCAATCATGCTGCGCGACGAAGCCAAGTCTAGCGCAAATGGGCGTGTTTGAATCTGCACACAGCGCATGTTCCCAAACTGCGAGAAAAATGGAACACCAAAGAAGGAAATGCCAGAACAACTACTATTTTTACGGTTGGGAGTGCACCCCATCCTTGGGGAGAAAACCGATCGGCATGTTTTTGGCTCACATCTGCTTGCGCCGACGTGCCCGCTGCCAGCTCTTCCAGGCGGCTCGGGGTAAGCAGTGTGGGCAGCTGATCTCCATCTTCCACCTGACGCAAATGCGGATGGAACAGAAGCTCTCGTATCTTGGTTGCTGCTGACCCCCCCCCTGCAAAAAGTTTAACTGTTTGGGGGTTTAGTGGAAAACCCATGGATTTCCCAAAGAGTTAAAGTCTAAAGATCCAACCCAATGGCAGTCAAGGTATTCAACAGGTTCCTCTCAAACAATCACCCCGACCAGGGGAAACTCTCCTCCAATGGGCCAAAAAGGTGCTTAAACCCAGACAAAGGGGGGATATAGGGACCCCTGTGTTCTAAAGAAAAAAACCTTTGGGTGGGTTGTTTTTGGCTTGGTGGAAAAGGCTTGAGGAGTTCAATGGCCAAACCGATTCATCGGTTGAGCTCCGGCTGGAAGTGCTGAGGCCCGTAAGATGTGTCAATTGCTTTACAATCAAAACCCTGTAACACGGTAAAGGGTCCACCCGAAAACCCATAGTGTTGAAATTGAAAGGGCTTGTTGATTCTGGCTGACGTGCTGATTCGCACCACGGGATCTGAGGAAGCGCCGGCGGTCACGAGAAAAAAAAGGCTTCCGTGCTTTTTGTAGTTGCTTTGAAAGGGAACCCTTGGACCCTCCTTCCAAACACTAACAGCCACCATGATGTGAAGACTGCTTTAGTGGTGGTGATGTTTTGCTCATCCATTATTAGGACACACGATCACATCCTGTGCTGTGCAACGGCGGAGATCACCGAGTCTCGCGCACTAAGAGCCAAACGCCCAAAAATTCACTGCTAGTGGGTGGGAGGGAGGGAGGGAGGGAGGGAGGGAAGGAGGGAGGGAGGGAGGGAGGGAGGGAGGGTGGGTGGGTGGGTGGGTGGGTGGGTAGGAGGGAGGGTGGCTGGGTGGGTGGGGGAAATCCAAAGGAAACCCTTGCACACGGAAAAAAAGGGAAAAAAGGGGCGCAGGTCTCCACAAATCCCGGCCTCGGATGTCAGGGGAATCGTGAGCTTCTTCGTCGCCATGGGGAATTGTCAGCCCGGGGTGCTTCGTGCCAGAACTCTCGCGAGCGGTGCTCCCAAAGACCCACCAACGGGGTTCCCACTCAGACGAGGACACACATGTCAGGTATGTTAGTGATGGTATATACTGCAACATGCACCGATAGCTTTTTCTTGGTGTTTTGGATAGCCAAACACCAATTTGGTGAGAAAGGACGCCTGGCAAACCTCAGCACTCGCAAACGCTTCGGCTGCATGGGCGCCTTCTCGTCTCCTTGACCTGACAAAGACAGATCTTGGTTGCATACTCCCCTCCAAAGAAACCCTTCCATTTGCTTAAGCCTCCTGGGAAAATATATATTTCCAATATAGTGATAAATTCCTTTAACACCAACAGGGCAACATAAAAAGTTCTTAAGCAAATGGAAGAACCTCCTCTAAAGATGATAAATTGTGTTTGTTTCCATCTGCCGGGGAGCCATGTTACGCTAGCCTCAAATCGAACCTGTCATCACTCGCGTTCAAGATCATGGCTGCCAAATGGGTCATCCACGTGAGGAGTTGTGTCCGTGTGTTTTGTTGAAGGTGATCCCAACATGACATTGCTAGCCAAATGGCCCCGGCACAAAATGAGGGAACCCAGGTGGTTCCCGATGGTTCCCCTTTCAAGCAAGCCCAAACAGTGTACTCCCAAACAAAGACACACCTAAATAGAAGGACCCGCATAACCGGGCTAAGTCTAAGACTTAGACCCCCTGCCAAAAAGTCAACGTTCTGCAGGTTGAAAGGGAAAACCAGGGAAAACCAAAACGGCGAAACGACAAAAAAAGGACGAGGCGCCCGCTGGCAACGATTCCCTCCCCCCACCTCGACAATTGGCCAGCGCCGTTGCCACATCCTTCTCCAACTCCGCCAGGGCCTGTACCAAAGTCCCTCCTCTGCTTGCCCGGAGTTGGCTCCCCAAAGGACCCCCAGAGAGGTTCATCTTGGGCCTCGAAAAAAGGACCCAGTGAAACTTGAAACCCCAAAATGTACAAAGCGGGTTCGACTGGGCAGAGAATGGCTTGATGTCCCATGAATGGGAGCCTCCCCCGGGGTTTGAGGGCGTCCGTCTCAAACACTGAAACCCTCGTGTTCGGGAAACTGCACGGGGAAATGCCTTAAGCCCAACCGCGCCTCCATGTGGGGGGGGGGGGTTTGAGGGTCCCCTTTTGGCGGTTCGTTCCCCCGGCAAATCAAAACAAAAACCACAATTTTGGAGGTCCCCCATTATGTTATAACACAGATTTGTTTGGGTGCATTTTATACATCTCTCACTCTCTCTCGCTCTCTCTCTCTCTCTCTCTTTCTCTCTGCCTGCTCGTCTGACACTGCTTGCCCCAATCGAAGCCTGAGCTGCCAGTCAATGGATTTGGTCTCTCGCGACGATTGAATTTGGAGAGCCAAGTTATCATGGGGAAAGCAATACACCAAAGCCGCGGTTCCAGGAAAGCCCTCCGAAACTCCACAGAAATGGCAGTCCAGATTCCCCCAAACAGTTCCCTTGGTTTCTTGGTGTATACATGTGGGTGCGTGTTCGAAGCCAGCCCTTTTTTGTTGGTTGGGGATAAGGGACACCATCCGCTTTGCGGGTTTCATCATTTTGAAACCCACCCTCAGTTCTCTCAAAACTATGAGCCGCTCATTGGATTGGTCTCCTCAAGCTGCCGTTGCCTCGGAGGCACGCGAAAGCAGCACAGGGATGTTCCCTTTAAAGCATCACCCCACCACAAGGGAGCAAATTGGAAAATGGTGCAAGGAAGCTGATATATCTGCATTACTACAAAAGGGGAATATATATATACATATATATATATATATATATGTAGGGACCCCTGCTGCAAAGCAAACAGAGTCAAGGGCTGGGCCTGATCTTTGCAAGCGCTTCAGAGGCTTGCCTCAGCATGCCACGTTGCTTCCTGAATGCGAAGCCAGACTATTTGATCAGGGCTCCTTAGATGATACATCCAAAAACCACCTGCTTTACAGGCCAAATCCGCTGAAAAAGCCGATGCCTTTCAACTGGCAAAAATGCATCCTTGAAGGGATCCTGTTTATGTATGGTTGCTGGTTGCTGGTTGCCAGCTACGAGCTGCGGGGTGTGGAAGATTGTTGTTGTTGTGGTTGTGGTTGTGGTTGTGGTTGTTGTTGTTGTGGTTGTGGTTGTGGTTGTGGTGGTAGTCGTGGTCGTGGTCGTGGTCGTGGCGGTGGTGGTGGTGGCGGCGGTGGCGGTGGTGGTTGTTGTTGTTGTTGTTGTCGTCGTCGTCGCTGTTGGCGCTGACGTTCTCGCCGTCGCCACTGCCGTCGTGATGGTTGTGTTTGCTGTCCAATCTCATAAAACTGACCTGAAATGCTTCTTGAGGCTATGACCAAACAGCACTTTGTCATGCCTCATGACCCTCCAGCGTCTTGTACAGTATCTGTTTCACGTGATGGACTACCTGTTGAGGCTGCTGTACGAATGAACCCCCGCTACAATATGCCAGGTGGTTTCAATGGCGCAAGTGCAAAGCAGTGCAACGGCAAAGACTCCTCCATCCAACATACGTCCTGCCTCCGCTTTTTGTTCGCACTTCCCGCCTCTTGAGTGACCAACATATCTCAGCACCGGGCAAAAAACTGCCTGCAGCCTGGGCCAAGTCCTTTGACACATCAGGCCTAAGGATCCAAATCCGCCTCTCACTTTCCGTAGGGCTCACTCTACTCACGGCCATGTCGGGCCTTCCCAAAAGCCATAGCCGGTACATTCACAGGCCAAGCAGAACTGGTGCCCTTTGATTGGTTGGGTGTCCTTGCCCCGCGAGAGTCCCAACCTAAAGTCTGGCAAACAGCTGTGAGATCCTGAGTGCAACACTCCGTTTTCTTCAATGGCGCCTTAGCAAGCAAGCCCGAACCAACATGCAAAACGACAAGCAGTCTGCAAGGCATGTTCCGCCTATCATGTCAACAACAACTCATGTTGATCCGAGTATCTGGCGAGCTTCCCGCCCTTCTTGGGCGAAAGCAGTCTTGAACCTATTCCGGCAGTCAAACGACCTGCGCTCCGAGTGCGGAAGCTGGATAAAGCGATGGCAGAGGCGGTCGAGGCGGCGGCATCTAGCCAGCAATTAGGCTCTTGGGAACGTAGCCGGGGATTTGTGTGCAGCAACCATTCTTGAGCCGGTTCCCCACTAAGATTCAAATGGCACATGTTGCCTTTCGCAAAACAAATCTCAGGGCTTCTGACTCTCAATGCCACGCGACATCGAACGCTGAAAGGAGCCCTTCCAGAAAACCCTCCGATGCCTCTGACAATCTGATACGGAGCAAGGGAGGCGTTCAACGAGCTTAGTGGCGACAGAAAGTCAGGAAGGACCCTGAAGCGCCACATCCTTGCATGGCTCCCTTGGCTATGAATCATCGGACAGGTGAGAGCCTGCAGATGTGCTTGCTCCAGACCTTGTCACCGCTCGCTCACGCAAGCTTGCAAAGCAACTGACGGGAGGGAATGTAACGATAGATTGTAAGCGCATCACAGCAGGACCTTTCACATGGCAAGACATTGCAAGATCGCATTTGTTTCCGTAGAGGGTGCCGGGAACACGTTCATTGCTAACTTCAGAGTACTCCGGAGGACCATAAGAATCCGAGGTTCCCTAGAATGAATCCATTCAGGGGAAAATAGCTTCACTTCCGATTAGCATCGTCCTCAGTCCGCATGACCGTTGAATAGTTGTTCCCACATGCCTGTCTCTGCATCCTGTCTCTGCACGGCTCAGATTGGCCCATGTCAGCATGCTTGCGACAGCTCAGCCCCCCGACAGCTGGGCTTCCAAATCCTGCGTCATTCTGCGACTCTCTCTTGCTGTCTGTCTACATCTCCCTGTCTCTCTGTGTTCACAAACCAGCTGCTTTTCAGCGCATGTTCCATCACTTGTAAGGCCGTCATGCTTGCTACACTGGCCCTTCCGGCATCCAATTGACAACGCACGCTGATGCTGAATGTTTTAAACCTGCCAAGCGTCCCAAATCCGAAATCCGTACTGGGACTCCACTACAAGGAAAACCACAACCATCTAGCACAAGGGCTACGGATTGTTTTGAACAACTCAGGAATGGGATGCCTTTCGTGTTCCCTTGTTTTGGGTTGAGGGAGACCCAACCGTAGACGGGAAATTACGAAGAGATGCCGCGGCGGCGCCTCCAAATCAGCACGTAGCTGCTGCCAGCTGAGGTCGGCCTCAGTGCCGTGGCACGCCGGCAGCCAGAGACAGCAGAAAGCCCTCCAAAGGAGGATGCGGGTGCCACCGAACAAGGACTAGGCCCCATGTTTCGTGGAGAAATCATACTGTTAGAGGGTCACTGCACAGCTGGGGTGTCCACATGTGCCTGGGTCAGAATTTGAGCTTCGTAGGGTTGGCCATGGAATTTGGAGGGAAGTTAGCAGGCTAAGGATGCCAGTTGAAGCCATGCCCTTGGCCTAGAGTCTCGCCGTGCATCGATACGGTCTCGTGGGCTTACCCAAAAAAGCAATTTCTGATTGGGACAACTTCTAATCCGTTCCTACTGATGTGACTTTGCTTAGAGAATAGGGGAGGAACACAGGAACATGTGTGTTTGCAGCAAGCATCCTGCTCCTCAAACAATCCCCCTCAAAGAATATGTGTTGGTTTAAACACGGAAGATATCAGTATTATGTTCCAGATTTGTTTTAGTTTGGAGGTGCTTTGTCGATAGCCTTGCTGATACGAAATCCAGGAGTTTAGAATTGGTGTAGTATTGGCTAATTCAACTTTATCGGGAGAATGAGGGTCGGGACACTAAATTCAAGGATTGCAAGTTACGACATCCCCTGGCACAAACAAATGGACCCTATCGATAAGTTTCGGCCTCCGGGCAATATGGGGGGGGGTTCTACTTTTAGAGGGAATGGATTCATCCTCGATTACCAGCTTTGGGCTGCTAAGTTTGGGTTGGCCCTCCTTTGCTCGGCGCGTGAAAGCTGTTGGGATCAGCCTGGGGGGATCGCCCACAAACTTGTTGCGCTGGGAGCATATCTTGACGAACCTCAGGCAAAATAGTCATGCTGAGGATTCAGAGTTGCGAGCACGCTTAGGGAAGTCTATTAGATTCCAACAAAATCCCAGCATCAAGATTCATCACTAGACACAGTGCCGCTCACTTTGCAGCCGGCCATGTCGTCCATATCCACAGCCTTGTCTGCACGGTCCTGCAAAGCCCAGAAAGAAAAAGTGAGTCGGCGACGCTTGCCAGCACTAGTCGAGCACTAGATGGAACGAGTTTCTGGCTCCCCTGAAATCCCTTTAAGGGAAATGTTCTCTCGTTGTGGGCTCAAAAGAGAAGGTGTGCAGAATCCCATATGTCCAGTGTTCTTGTTCCCTCAGCGCGGCGAACCCGCATAATCCTGTGGGTCTTGGTGTTGTATGCTTCCAACTTGAATCGAACTGTTTTTGCGGAAAAAACTAGAAGCTCAAATCACCAGCATAGTATCCTCCTGCTCTGCAAAGTCCCCTAAAGCTCGCTTCCGAGACGCCTTTTCAAGCGGGTGTTTGTAAAATCGGCAACTGGATGCCTCAAGGTTCTTCTTCGGGCCTTGAAATCAACCCTCTGCAACAAGCTTGGCTCTTTGCCCCCATCACTGGCTCCCAGTGGCAATCATAGAAAACATATAATTCAAACCCGGGTTGATGCCATAGTAGGAAACCACCCACCCACCCCACAAAAAAAAGCCACTGAGGAATCGGGCGGTTCACATGAATCTTAGCCAAAACAACTTTGCAAGCTTCGTAGAGGTGGCCATGGACCCAAATATAGGCATAATTTACAGGCATAATGCCTAAGGACAGGTGATGCGGCGGCCCACGTACGTATGGCAGAAATGGTCTCGCAAGACATCAGTTGGGTCATACTGGCACGGGCGCCCCAAACCCTATGGTGGTCACCCGCTTGTCCTAAACCGGCTTCGCGGGAAACATCCAGCAAAGTTCCCCAAACTTACCCTTAACCATCCTTACACGAGCCCTTCAATGGTGTTTCTGTTGGGGGGGTCAGCCTCCATATAACCATTGGGGTGCATGAATCCACCTTAGGTTCTTCTTACCAAAAAGGGACATCCAGCACCCCGAAATCTCCAGACGCCTTGATCGCATCTTTCAGCGCCGCCAGCTCCTAGCGCTTCGTGCGCCGAACCCGGACGCCGAAACCAGTGCCCCCCCCCTTCCCGTAGTTTCCCTTTGGCTTCTTGGCATCCGTTTCGAAGTTCCAAACCAATGCAAAGTATCATGGTACCTTTCAAACGGCCAACCCCTGGCCATGTTTTTCATGGATGGAAGTTGTGAGGCTCTCGTAAGGGGATGCTTGTTGATGGGTTGCATTTGGTTCCCCGTATTCAAAGCACGAAACACATCCATGCGACCTGATTGCTGACAATTGGCTTACCTCTGGCGTGAGAGTTGTTGTGGCGAGCTCACCTAGTGGCACAACAAGCCCATGGTGTAGAGATCCATTCCCACTTTGGGCTCCCTTGTCAGGGTGTACCATGGCCCGGCTGCTAAGAACTGTTTTGCTCAACCCTATTTTAACACTCCAGCGCTCGAAGCAAAGACTTGCCAATCGAGGGAAACAACTGCCTCCCCATTGGTCCGTGCCAAACTGTTGTTTTGGGGCAGGTATGTAGGTATTATGTATGTATGTATGTATATTATACGTATGTATGTATGCATGTATGTATGTAGATGTATTAATGTATTAACAATGTATGCACTACTATGCATGTGTACTAGCATGTATGTCCGTATGTCCTTGAAACTGGGGGTACCTACCTGAGCATATGAGGTATATACCTAAAAGCCAAACCTAGATCTTCTTTCGACAAACCTTTTGGCCGAAATGCTTGACGGCGGAAATGTCCACCTCACCGCAAAGAATAACACCGATTTCAACGCATAACGCCGACGCGCAACAAACAACGCCGAATTGCAAGAAACAACGCCGCAAAACCAAAATGAATGGCCGCCAAATTCCGCCGTTGTCCCGCCAAATTTTGATGTCCCGCCGAATTACGCCAATGTCCCACCACGCTTTTGGGATGTGCATGCGCTTGCGAGAATGTGATAAACTCGAACTCCAGGCAGCCGAACATAATATTTGGGAATGCGTGTGCGTGCGGAAAAGCATGACTCTTCACGCATAATGACATGGTTGCGTGCGCGCAAATGTACGCAGAATGGCACGGTGACATGTGCATGGCCGGAAAGGCTGACAATTTGCAAATTGCTCCGCACCCTTCATGGCGACGTGAGCATCCATTACAGATGCGTACTACTGGACATGGAACATTGCGAGTTCGACATTTAGAGCTGTTCTCCCACGTTGTGAACCAAATGGACCACAAACAATCAAGGAGATTGTGACTTGTATCCGAACCTCATGCCTCCACATTTTTGGGATAGAAACGTTTACATTAAAGAACTCGCCCCTTTTAAAAGGACAGGAACCAGGGTACATTTTGCATTTCTCCCTGCTACTCCACCTCAACAAAAAAAACGAGGGAAAAGTTCTAGGGGTACCTTCCCCATTCTTTCCAGGGATCCTTATTTTCAGGAAACAGCATCTTGGAAACCCAGGGAAACAGCCGGTTGAAAAGAACGATGGTTGAAAGAATGGAATCGGAATCAGCCCCCTAGAGAGACCCGCTCCTCCCCATGCAGCTGCAAAAATCCGGCCATCAGGAGCTGCTGCTCGGAGCCGGCCTGCAGATGATCTTCAACTCGTGTTTATCCAGTGAGGTTCGGTGAACATATGTAAACATCTTGGAACCCTTTGGCATGGGTCTGCGTTTCTTTCAGATCCCCCTTTGGTTGTGAATTCACCTTTTTCACCTTTCTCTGCTGATCTCCGCATGTGACGGAGAGTGACGCGAGCAGTAGGACTTCCGCAATGTGGCTTGTGGCCTTTGGTGGTTCTGAGGGGAAACCTTGGTAGGTTTATCGGTTGGTGTCAAACCGAAACCAACAGCCACCATTTTATGTATTTAATGTGCTTCTCAGGAAGCTAAGAACCTCAGATTCAAACCACCCATCAACTCACCTCCGTATTAGGATGATGTGGGGTGCATGCTGGTCCTTCAAGCAAATACCAAACGTGGTTGTCCATGTGTTCCAACAAAACAAAACACTTAGTTACTTATTTGCGGTGACTTCGGCATTATTTTTGAGGAGTAAGCCATTGGGTTCCCTCGCTATTGTAGCGCTTACAAGTTGGTTGAACGTCGCAATCTCGTCTCTCCCATGCCGATGGTCTGCCTCGCCAAAACCATGATTGAAATGCAGGATGGACAGGAATAGACAAGATTGAACAACGCTGACTTGCCCAAAGTCATCTAGTCATAGAGCCGCAACTTCGACTTGGTCGCAACAGAAGGTACAAACATCTTCTCTTGGGTGCTGTAGATCCCCCAGCAAAAAGTGTTTAACCTTTTACTGGTTAAAAGGAAGTATGAGGGGAATCCAAAAAGTGTTCCAGTCTAAAGATCCAACCCACCGGCAATAGTGAACTCAAGATACCCGCGCTTCAACTCCGGGGCCTTACCAGGAGATCCGAATACCACCGAATCGATTCCGACAAATTCTTTCTTCCAAACTGAAAAACATTGAACCAAAGGCACAAATGTGGCCATGGGTCAAAATCCAAATCGTACCCCCAGTGAACCTAAAATTGGTTCTAAAATGGGTGGTGCACCTACCCCGAAAAAGGGGCCCCATTGGTTTTGACAACCACAGTCATGTCAGTCTTTGAGAAAGGAACCGCAACTGTTCAGTTCGCTCGCCTTGCCAGGGAGCTGCTTCACTTTGCGCCGGAGCTTCCTCAGTTGAAATTTTGTTTCGCGCGGTGGAGGGTCCACAGGATGCCGTGCAGGCGCCGAAAGCTGCACATGAACTTTCTTCCCAATTTCCCATTGCCCATAGAACGTCATGCACCCCCCCGCCCCCCCCCCCTCCCCGAAAGTTTATCCGGGACTACAATGGCTGCGTCTCACCTACGAGGAGCCAAAAAGTTAGGAGCTCCAAATGTGCCTATTCAAGGTTCAAGTACTTGCTTTTGCATGGAATGCCAATGTGTGTTCTTGGCTCCCAAAGTCCACAGTTGTTTGTTGCTCCCAGTTCCCAGGAAAGGAAACACGCTCCGAACTTTGCGATAGCCTTGTGTTCTCCAGCTAGGACAACCCTCACCGGTGTTGCCAACCATGAAGGTGTGCTTGCGGCTGAGAGGAAATCGATCTGCGGCCATGCTTCAAGGATGATGTCCAAACAGTCAGTCCCGGTGACTATTTCACCTCTGAAACACCAGACCAAAAGAAACTCACCCAACATTTCATGGGGTGTGTTTCTTCTGAGACCCTTTCTGAGCTGAGCGGAAACCGCTCAGGGGACACCCATCCAGTTTGGGTCCCGGGTTGAAGTGGCGCATGGAAAATCGAAAGTTGTTCGGCCTAATTCTTCCCTTCTCTCCGTTTTCCAAGACACCCGAAGGAAACCGAAGCCGGTTTCGCGGCTTCGCTGCCAGGAACCCCTTCCCCTCAGCCCTCGGCTCCAAGTCTTCGCGAATCTTCTCTGCGGCGGCTTTGTCCACATCCTTCGCCGGCGAAAACCACTCAATGCCAGGGTAGTGGTTTGAGCACCAGGGCAGACTCGATCTACAACCCCTAAACATCACCCGAAGCAATTTAACAATCATTCCGACTTAGAACAAAAGCAGGGCTGTCCTTAACGACTTGCTGTAGTACCTACTTTCAAGTAGACGTCTTTAAACATTGATTTGCATTTTGGCCGACAGGCGAGCGGGTGAACATCTCTAAGTTTCTTAAGTTCCAACTTCTCCCCGCCCTCCAACTTGAACTTTTCAGGCAGGTCCTTGGCGCTCCAGAATGGCTGGCAACTCCTGAATAGGGTTCTGACGTGTTCTGAAAATGAACAACTGCCTGATTGGAAACCTTTGCTCTGGAAATCTACCTTGAATGAACACCTGCTTAGCAAAAGGCACAGTTTTGTTCAGATGTGAGTGCAGTTGCGTTTGGCGACCTGGTGGGGGCCGGGAAATAGCGAAAAGAGAAGAGTATACACTGCGCCGAGTACACCTACCCTGACAAACGTCACTGCCAACTTGCAAGCCCCAACAAACTCACGCCTGGACCCTGCGGAGGCCCCCGATCACCTTCGTGGTCTGCAGTATTTGACAGGCTGGATTTCAATCTTGGGCTTTAGCGCCTCCGCCACTGCTATGGTTTGCCGGCCTCGATGGTAGGGGCAGGACTCGGAGTGTCACTTGCGCCACGTTGGCGCAAAGACCTGCGTTGCGTGGCGCAAGTGCGCTTTAGTGGAAGAAGGCGTGACTTTTGACAGGTTGCTGGGCTGACAAGGGTGACAAGGGGTGGCGCTGGGTGACACCGTGGTCAGCGGACGTAGGATTTTTGGCCAGGAGCTTTGAGGATTGTTCTTGCGGGAAATGGACCATGGCATGCTCTCTGTTTCCCGTCTATGTTCCGGGCCGGGAAAGGAGACTGCCGGAAGACGCGGGCTGGAGAGGACTTGAAAAGACTACGGGAAGAGCAAACGAAGACCGGACCGGGGGCGTCGCGCGACGGGGAATGTTCGGGGAGATTTCGGGAAGATACGAAAAAGCTGGCGGAAGACTACGGAACATTTGGAGCAAGACGGGGCGCGAGTCGCGCGGGCGGGGAAGACTCGGGAAGAGCATATGACAAATTAAATTGCGGGAAGCCCAAGCGCCGGGAGTTCTACCGCCCGCCGCGCCCCGGGACGCAGGCGGACTGGGCGCGCTGGACTGGGGAAGAGCGCCAAACGACTGCGGGACTTTGTCCGCGTCGCGCGGCGGGTCGTGATTGAAAACTTGAGGAAGCCTAGTTACAAAGGACAGATTACAGAAACTCGGCGGGCCGGAGCACGCGCGGGCGGGGAAGACGGGGAACATTGACATTACGGCAAAGTTGCCGGAAAACTGCGGAAATTCGACAGGAAGGCTGCGCGCGCGCGTTGTTCGACTCGGCCAGGGGAAACTCGGAAAAATATTTACTACGGAAAACTTACGCGAGGAATTGGAGGAGACCACGGGAAGACGCTTCTACAGGGAGACTCTGCCGTGCAAAGGCGTGTCGCGCCCCGCAAGTGACGCAGGCCGCTGAAGACTACGGCAAGACTGCCTCTTCCTCCCCTTTCTGCAAGCAACTTCCGAGGCAACTTACATACTGCGTGCAAGTGGGATGCTCGCCCATCGCAAGTGGCGCCGCTCTGCGCCTGCTTCTTTCGACACCCACGTCTTCACACTGAAAGGGCGTGCCGCGTGACACACAATGTTCTTGTAGTCTTTTCGTAGTCTCCCCCTAATCACCCCTTAGGCTTGCCACATAGTCTTCCTAAGTCCTCCCTGGCCCGCGTCGCACGACGTGGGGCAACCTGTGTAATCTCCCCGTAGTCCTTTGGAGGGGTGGAACGAAGCACAGGGGCGTGTTTCACATCAAGCCCGTTCACCGCCCCTCAAAGCCGCGCGCGTGATTCCGAAATGCGCGCAAAGGGTGGACCGCAAGGAGCGCACCGACCCAAGCTTAAATCTACGCCGGCAGCTTGTGTTTTTGCGTTAGCTGGCTCTTTTTTTTTTGCACTGATGGAGCTAATCGCGCAAAAAGTGGATACCACTGCGTGGGCTCATTACAATGAGCAGTCTGTGGGCGAATCACACACCACCTCGAAAGTGTTTCATTGCTGGCCTGGAGCCTAATGCGGAGAAAGCTTTTCTGCATGTCTACAGGAGGTTATGAGTGGCAGTTGGCATTTTTGCTGACCGCCAAATCGCGGCAATGGCCAAAGCCACTATAGCAATCTCAAAGGCGCCTAGAAACTGAACAGCAGCTGCAGTATTTGCTCGCCACGGCGCAGCTGCTGCCAGAGCAGCTCTGCTGCTCAGCGGCTTGAATGTCGAGCTCAAGGCCCTCTGCCCATCTCCGTCTAAATTATCCGCACGCCCCATCCCACTGGGATGCGCGAAAAGGATATCAAGCACTACATCACGCAACCTGTTCGGCAGCGCAAGCTCAGTGCGTCACACTGACATACTCATTGCGTATTACGTGGGTTGGCCCAAACAACAACCCTAAACACTGAACCTTGCCAAGACACAATACCCGGTTTTTTTTTTGCGGCGAAACACGCAGAAGCCAATTCTTATAAGGGGCCGGACATCAAAAAAAGACACGCTGCTTGTTGGCCGCCAGTAACCTGAAGTATCAGGTGTCCAGGCTGGACATCCCATAGCCAGCACTCAGCTTGGAGAAGTGTCAGGATGGGTGCGAAATTGCTACACAGCATTGCGTGCTTGCACGGGCCAGAAAAAGTTGGCTCTGAGGGTGCCAGACCCCAAGTATCGGGTGTTCGGGCTGGACAGCTGATAGCCGGGGTAGTGAATTGTCAACCCCAGCCAGATGCAAGTCAAGGCTCCTGGAAAGCTGCAATCCCCAGCTATATCTGGGAAGTTCCCATCGAGGGGAGTTGTTGGAAGTATGTAAGACAGGGGCCCCTTCATAGATCTAATTACACTTCTCTGCCTGCGTGTTCATTGGGCAACGGGGTAGCTGTGAACGCCAACGCGACGGCTACAGCTGCTGTCACCTAGCTGCAACACGTGGCGTTGCCCAACTGCGAAGATCTGCGCGCTTCCGAATCTACGGTGACGCAAGCAGTCTGCGCAACGATAGTGCTTGATATCGTTCAATCGCATCACAATGGATTGTGGCTCGTGGCCTTGCAAGCCTCGGGGCAATTTAGACGCAACTTTCTGGCGTGCTTTTCCCCAGAAAGGCAGCCCAGAAGAGAAGTTTCAGAAGCCTTTTGCTGAGTGACACCTTAGAGCAGATGTTTTGCGATGTTTTGCGCAGCCGCTTTCGGTGCCTTTGAGATCGCTAGTGGCTTCGGCAACTGCTGCGATTTGGCGGTCAGAAAAGTACCAGTCATAACCTGCTAGGGACCACCTGCAGAAAAGCTTTCTCGAGGAGCACTGGGCAAATCAGGACTAGGCGTCGGCGAAGTCCATGTCATACGCTCGCAAACTGCTCATTGCGCTGTGACGCATGCAGTTATATCCACTTTGTTGCGCGATTAGCCCCCATCAGTGCCAAAAAACAAGCTAAGCGCGGCCAGAAGCTTGAGTTGCCCCTGAGATCCACCCTTTGCGCGCAGTTCGGAATCACGCGCGCGGCTTTGAGGGGTGTGGAAAGGCGTGTTTTTTTCACGCCCCCCTGCTTCCTTCCACCTCTCCTCTACGCGCTGAGACCTGCGTGGCGCAAGTGCGCTTTAGTGGAAGAAGGCGTGACTAGGGGGAAGTTGACAGGTTGCCGGGCTGACAATGGGTGACAAGGGGTGGCGCTGGGTGAAACTGGGTGACGCTGAAGGAAGTTGGTCAGCGGACCTAGCATTTTTGGCTAGGAGCTTTGTGGATTTTTCTTGCGGGGAATTGCTGACCGATGGGAGTCGACCGTGGAGCACAGGAATCGCCAGTTGTCATTTGTGTTGCCTTGGTTTCCCGTCTATTGCCCCAATCTACCCTCACCACGCCGTTTGCTTCGCTGTTTGCGCCGGCCCCGCGGTTCGCGCCGGGCGTGTTGGGCCGCGTCGCGCGACGCGGGCCGGGAAAGGAGACTGCCGGAAGACGCGGGCTGGAGAGGACTTGGAAAGACTACGGGAAGAGCAAGCAAGGCGAAGACTACGGACCGCCGGGCGCGTCGCGCGACGCGGGCCGGGGAAAGCTCGCGAAGATTGCGGGAAGACACGGCAAAGTTGGCGGAACACTCTTGGAAGTCTACAGCAAGACGGGCGCGCGTCGCGCGACGCGGGCCGGGGCAGACTCGGGAAGTGCGCAACGTTAACAAATAAGATTGCGGAAACCTTGGAGAGGACTCAGGAAAAACAATAAGACAAGCGCAGGGAGTTTTACCGCACACCGCCTCCCGGATGCAGGCGGATTAGGCGCGCTGTGCCAAACAACTACGAGAAGACCATGAGAAAACTACGCCCGCGTCGCGCGACGCGAGTTGGGAAACCTGGAAGACCAGACGCAGGGAAGGCTACCGGAAGGACAGGCCTATAGAAAGGACATTCTTTCATTCTCTACTGCAACGCCGTTCATTCATTGTGAAACCTAGCCGGGTTCGATTTAATCGAAACATGCGTCCGCAGATCGTGACACATCTCTGTACACGGAGGCACGGTCGCACGACGCGGGCCGGAGAAAACTGGGAAAAAGCCGGGAAGCCTGCGTGAGGAGTCGGAGAACACCGCGGGAAGACTACAGGCAGACTCTGTTGCACACCGCTGGGCCGCGTCGTGCGACGGGCCTGGAAGACTTAGGAAGACTAGGGGAAGACTACGGAAAGACTACAAAGAACATTGTGTGCCGGGCGGCGCTCCCACGGCAAACCATAAGCCTAAGATTGGAAGACCGTCTGTCAAACACTGCAGACCACAAAGGTGACCGTGGGCCTCCGCAGACTCCAGGCGTGAGTTTGTCGGGGCTTGCAAGCTGGCAGTAACGTTCCGCAGAGGAGGTATACTTGGCACGGTGTATTCTCTTCTCTTCGCTACGATTTCCACCAGGTCGCCAAACACAACTTCACACACATCTGAACAAACCGCGCCTTTTTCTAAGCAGCTGTTCATTCAAGGTAGATTTCCTGAGCAAAGGATTCAATGTGGCAGTTGTTCATTTGAGAACCCTATTCATGAGTTGCCAGCCGTTCTGGAGCGCCAAGGACCTTCCTGGTTTTGACACGTGCCCAAATGCCAAAAGGTCAAAGCGGAGGGTGGAGAAGTTTCGGGGGGAACTCTCAAACATAGTTCAAAGATGTTGACCCATCCAAATAGAAGCCAATGTTCAAAGGCGTCCACTTGAAAGTAGGTACTACAGCGCAGGATGCCCAGATGGTTAAGGACAGCCCTGAAAAGGTGATGCTTGAAACCTCCCAGAAGGGACATTGTGCACTTCTCCACAAGCAGCAACCCTCGGTGTCAGGCAGACTCAAATTACCTGTGGGTAGTCCTGGGTCACCCAAACAAGGGACGCCTGCACATGCGGCCGCGCAGCAATTTGGCAATGTTATGGAGTCAATCACTGCGCCTTTCAGTTGAGGAAAACGTTGCAAAGCGTCGAACACGTTTTACTGAGTAGTTGGCCCAAACAAAAAAGCAATCTGTTTGTTTACCACCAAATGGTCTTCCCAAAAAGTAAAGTTCACTTGGAAGCGAATTTGAATTGCGTAGGGGGTACCAGTTCGGGTTGCTTGAAAGGAGCCGCAAAGGGGGAACTGAACGTTTTGTGGGTATGCAACTTTCAAGCCAGCTCAGCACAACACAACAAACACCTCCATGGCGTTGAGGCCCAACCGCTGAGTTGGCTGGCAAGAACAAATACGCTGGTTTGCCCTTAGACTGAAATACTGAAATAGCGCAACCAAAAGCATGGCTTCAAACTGAGCAGGTAAGACAAGGTGCCCTGCTTAGCATGGAACCCGAAAAGGGGGTCCTCCAAAAGCAGACCTCTACAAAGGCTTTGTGAGTTCCATGTCGGCTCCGGACAGGTTTGGCATTTGGCAGGTCCTCTGCCAGAGATCCCAGTGGCTGCGTTTGGCTGCGCTTTTGCGAGGTCCTGCGCTCGCTTTCTTGCGGTAGGCACATGAAGGTTGTCAGGGCCGCCAGGATACCGTACCTTTGCCAGCTGATGTCAAGCATTCCCTTGTAAAGCATGAGGCTTGGGATGTATTCTTTGAGGAGCTCCTCTTGAAGCATGAGGCTTGGGATGTATCCTTTCAGGAGCCCTGTGGGACGCTTTTAGGTTCTGACTGAATGGCTCTTGCAACCTTTCGGGGGGGCTGGTGTCTCTTCTCAGTTGCAACCAGGAACCTGACAACACCACACGTCAAGCGATCGCCCTTTCAAGAAGGATTTGCAAGCTCCATTTCTTGCTCGATAACAGAGTCAGATTTTGTCTGTCCAGCAAGCTCCTATTCACCCTGCCGAAATCAAAACCTGGTACTGAAGGGGCCGAACTACCCAAAACCCTGACAAGATCAGAAGAGCATACTATATATTATGCGCGTGTGTGTGTGTCAAAATAGGGACCCCCGAAAAGTGAAAACAACACCCACCTCAAAACGGCTGCCCTTGGCTACCACACCCACCAACTTTGCGCTTGTTGACGCAACTGAGCTATGCCACGGACGCAACCAAAGCCAAGGTTGAAGCTTTGTGGGGTACAGCCCCAGCCACAAATTGCGCAGATTCCACGCCAACCAGATCCATGTTGATGTCGACATGTTTCTCAGGGTCCCACTCTGAATTGAGAATCGCCCTAAAGTAACGTTGAGAAAGTGGGCTCCCACCCTAAAGTAACGTTGAGAATCGCCCCTTGGGGCCCAGTCACCTGACCGGCTGGAGCCAAACCTCTGAGCTTCCCCGCAGCTTGGAGCGGCGGGCTGCAACGAAGCCTTGCGGCCGTCAACTTCCAACTGACTCGTTGGGAATGGGGTAGGGCACCTAAGGGGGGCAGGTTCAGAAACAAGCCCACTGACAAATTCAATCATTTATCAGCTTCGGAAAGCAAAACTTAAACAAGCAGAAACACTTTCGATTTGGGGACGCCCAGGGACCTGGATACTGAAACTGCCAAGGGCCGAGTCCTTCGAATGGGCTCAACCCAAGGCATCAAGGTTCGCGCTCGTAAGTCGGCTTGCAGCATCCTGGAAGGCGAGTCGTTCCCCTCCTTACCTCTAAGGTAGACTCAATGTGCGAATTATGAGCTCACAAATTCGGGGAGGAAACGAGCTCACGCATGATGATGGTCTTTCTTCTATCAGGCTTGTGAATTCTTGTAATTCGCCCAGACTCCATGAACGCTGCAATCCCTCTGATTCCAAATGTGGAAACGCCTGAATGCTCATTCCTATCCAGCCTTGGTCCATCATCAAATTCTGCAAACGATGTCTTGAAGATTGAAGGACATGGAGAGGTCTGAAACCACTTGGAAACAGTAGGGGAACAATCATCTTCCCGAAGGTTGATCAAAGTTGAAGGTCAAACCAAAGAGCAACCAGCGCCCGAGGCTTTTCTTTTCCCACCTACCCCAGGAATTTTGGACACCTCTTGCGGTCGTAGGATGCTGGCAGGCTATGCGTGACAGCATCCCCTCCTGGGAAGTTCCTGATGGAAGCTGCTTCGCCTGCGCGGAATCTGCTCGTAGACGGGTTCGCTCGAGGACGTTTGCCTCTTCCAAGATAGTTCTGAAGGTTTAGACGGGCCTTTGCGGTGTCCATTCCCATTGAAGCCAGGTAGATCACCGAAATGGTCAACTGGAATCGGTTTTGGCTGCTCTCCGAAGGTGTGGAGCGCCCTCCCCCCCCCTCTCCGCATGTTCGGACTACCTATTTGAGCGTCAGCTGTCGTGCCCCAGTGAAACTCGATTGGGCATCCAATCCGACAGAAAGGAAAATGTCACTGGGTGCTAATTTTTGCAGACCCCTGTTGAACAGGGCCTCTTGGCTTCCTTTGTCTTCACCCTTTCCTTCACTGCCATGACTGGAGAGGACAAGCAGGCCTGCTCCAACTCGCCTTTCAATCGCGACCACAGGCTGTGTAGCTGCCTTGGATTCGTGGCAACACATCTGTGGGCTTGCGGCAACATATGGAGACCCAACAAATGCATGTTGTCTTTTCATTAGAAGAAGGTAAAAAGGGAACCCTTAAAAGAAACAGAGAGCCACATCTTCAGTGCTTGAATCGATGGTTCGTGGAACGCACCCCTTTCTGCGATACCAATATGGGTCATTGGTCCTTCCCATGGCTACTTTATCGCTTGGAAGCTTCCCACAGAAAGAAAAAGCCACTGAAACCCTTTCCATGAACCAGCCCTTTGCATATGGATCCCCGCCCAGGGTCGCTTTTCCATTCAACGAGTAGCCGTATGGAACCAAGGGGTCTTTTGAGGAACATGGTCCAAACCCACGCCCCCCCTCTGGGTTTCAGGTGAACGGAGGGCAACCGGCATGGGCACCCAAAGCCCCAAGACGACGAAACCGATTTGTGAAAAGAGGGGTGCCCTGTCTGTGATACAGTGGGAGTCCCAGCCAGACTTCTTTCTCAATTTCAAGATGCTGCAGCAAATGGCAGCCTACAGCCAGCCTCGTCCATGGTTAAAGGACTTCTTACTCACGGCGATCGGCAGGAAATGGGATTCCCAGCCATGCCTTTTCCGCCACCGCACCCGGGTCCCGGGGCCCACCATGAAAATGCTCAGAGCCCGGCTTCCACTTGTCGCCCCGAGCCCCTCCTGGCAACTGATTTCTCCGATTCACGTCTGCTTGCGGGCCGCGAAATATAAGGGGGGTTCTTTACACATGCCATCGGACCTCTACAAAACAGCTGGTTGCTTTGTGGGTGCCGTTTGAACTGTATCCAAACACCATTTAAAAGCGGATCCGCTTACATGTCTGCATCTGCGTGTCTTTTTCGCTGGTACCCTCTTTCGTCGAAAAGGTGGACACCCTGGTCAAAGGGAAGCCAAAAAGAAGCCAACCAGCTGAAGCGGTCCCCCCAGTTGGAGAAACATTGTCCAAAGACAAATTGAAAGCGAATGGAACGCCGAACGCCGACGCGTGACGTCTGTGTCGGCTTCAGGTCCTGCCTTCCGCAGCTTCAGCCTCGTCCGCAACAACTCTCGATGGAAAAGCTTAAGGAATCTACCTAAACACTAAAAGCGTGGATGCAACACAAATCAACATCGTTTTAGAGGAATTAGATGGGATGCTTGCTGTCCATGTTCTATTTTGAGGTTGTCATGGTGGTTTTGTTCCGCCAATGGAAACCTAACAGCACTGAGGCGAATCCAATAAACAGTCTCTAGAACCACAACAATTGCCGAATTCGCCTGTGTTTTCCCTCGAAACAGCCCTGCAAAAACGACTCGGGTGCATTTGACACAGCGTCCCAAATTGGAACTGGCCCCCTTTTTGGATGGTGTTTCTAGGAAATCAAAAAGCCCCGACCTCCAGCCACCAGATAGACAATTGGCACCTTTTTCGGAAGTGGTTGTAAAGGGAAACAACTGGAAACCTGAAAGTACCATGCTCCGGTGGTATCCCGAACAGCAACTCTGGCAGCCTCTAGAGGGGCACCGGTCTTGAAAAGGAAAACCAGGGCCCTCACTCCTTCCGATTGACCAAACTACGTTTATATAATATGTTTGTCGCCAAAAAAAATCTTTCAACAGCTCCAACCTCGAGAGCCACTCCCGAGTCTCTCGCCTCTGAGCTCTGCAGCTCGCTCAAGAGCTGCTCCTGGAGCTTCTGAAGCTGCTCCTTGTCCTGGCCCCGTGCTGTTGGTGCTACAGTTGCTGTCCTGTCGCTTTGCGAGTTGTTGATGCCAAGCGTATTGCCTGTGTTTGGTGGTTTTTGCTGTTTGTGTCTAGTTGTGCTGCGTTTATAATTATGTTTATTATTGTTGTTGTTTTTTTTTCTTATTCTTCTTCTTATTATAATCATCATCATTATTATTATTATTATTATTATTATTATTATTATTATTATTATTATTATTATTATTATTATTATTATTATTATTATTATTATTATTATTATTATTATTATTATTATTATTATTATTATTATTATTATTATTATTATTATTATTATTATTATTGTTATTGTTATTATTATTATTATTATTAATATTATTATTATTATTATTATTATTATTATTATTATTATTATTATTATTATTATTATTATTATTATTATTATTATTATTATTATTATTCTTATTATTATTATTATTATTATTATTATTATTATTATTATTATTATTCTTCTCATTATATGTGTATATTTATTTGTTATGTTTTTCGGGGGAGTCAAGGGCGTATACAATGATATATAAATATATGTATAACATGCATAGTCAAACATCTAGTCTACCTACTGTGTCTCTCTTTGGTTAGCGACCCATCCAGCGCCTCGTGTCAAGGGTGGACTCCCTTTAATCAATTTCCGCATAACTAATCATTGTTGGACCATGCGTGGCAGTGTGGCAATTGGCAAACGGCAACTTAAGGAACCCTTGTCATCAACCGATCTCTAGTAGGGACCAATCCACCACCCAAAGGCAAACACTGGTGTCCCGACGATTATATAGAAGCCAAACAAAGCATTTGCCCCCCATTTTCCTTGGCGAGTAGCGCTTTGGTGGGGACACCCTTGCAAATCATGAAGAGAACCCAGGTGTCTCTAGAGGCGTCGTCTTTTTTGTGGCTTTTTTTCAAATTTCGCCGAAAACATCAAATCACGCGCTTTAAACTTGCCCAACAAATGATGCTCAAAAGCCAGCAACAAGGAAACTATAGGGCAACTTGCTGAAGTGGTGTGCTCAACATCCCTCTGGCCTTCCGTGAGCGCACCGCCCGGGCGAAGAGTGCAGCGCGCGAGGCCGCCTGGCGATGGGCTTCATCGAGGGTTGCTCCTTTTCGGCCCTTTCAGTTGGACCCAAGGACAACAAGAGAAGTGCCACCTATGGTTTGGTCGTTTTAAGCATGCGCCGATCTCTCAAAGGGTTTCACCAGACCACTACTCAAGGGGAAGTTGTGGTTGCATATTCTATCCCCACCCCCCTCACCCCAATTTTTGTGGGGGGGGTATGCTGTCTACACAGAGTGATGGTCTTTGCCATAAATACCCACTCCATGTAGAGCTAATCATTCAAATTCCAGAATTCTCAGAACCCTTCTGAGAACCCCTTCCAAGAAGGTTCTAAGAGCCCTTCTTGGGTTGTGGGTGCAATGGGACAATCGACAGTGATCAGGAGTGACAACTGCCCATATGATGTTGGCGCTTGACTGTAGAGCTTTTTGGTCGTTATCACATTTATGGATGAACAATATAAAGGCACCACTCCAAAGCAATCCCTGGTCTTCGCAGCTCGCAACTCAAAACAAATCCGAGGTTCACACTCGGATGGTTGCTCGAATTGTCACTCCCTCAGAACATGATTCCGCACGGCGCTACCAAACAAACGACCCACGACTTGGCTAATTGAGAGCTGCCAGTGTGCCAACGAGCTTTGCGCTTACTGTCTGGACGCGCCTCCTTCAGCCGGCTTAGCCATCTTGAGGCCTGCCCAAATCAGGCAGCAACGATGCCAGGTAGTCTCTCCGGGGGGGGGGGGGGGCGGGTACAGCTCAATTTTTATGGCATTCAAAGGCTCCCGAGGCCGACTCAAATCAGGCACGGCACAGGTGGCAAACTCAACTTTCGCTGCTTGACCTCCGAACAACGGCCCCTGTCACTCTGCTCCCTCACGGGAGCAAAGAGGTTCGCCGAAGCTCTGGCAAGCTCTGGCAAGCTCTGGCTTGAGAAGAATTTTCCACCAGCACACGGGGACCGAGGCAATGAACACCCTTGCTGCTCGAGGCGAGCGGACCTCCGAAGTTCCAGTCTGGCTCCTAGGGCTTGAGGACAGCGCATGCGTTTGTTCAAGCCGGAGGTTGACTGTTCGACACCTTCAAGGCAGCACCAAAATGGCTCTGGGTCAAACATAGGGTAACCCCAAAATGGGTTGCCCGGGTAAATGGAAACATGGAGAAAAACCTGCGGTCTCCTGGTGGTTTAATTTTGACCCATACCCAAATGAGCCGAGAGCTTGAGATTCTAAGTCACAACCAGCAGGTCCACCCAAAACCCTTCCCGCTTCAACATGAGCTGACAAGGGCTTGACGAGGTTGAGTCACAGTCAAAGCCAAGCAAAGGAGTCTACCCAAAACTCGTGGTCACCTCAAGGGCGGGTCTTCCCGCATCTATGGCTGAGGGGGAATGCTTCCTACTAACGTACACCAGGGTAAACGTGGCTCCCTTTGTGTAGGTAGGGGGTAACCCAACCAAATGGAGAAGTGTGCCATCTCCTTGCGCGCAACAGGTTTGTTCGTGGCTGCTGTCCACAATCCTTCGGAAACCCAGTCCTCGTCATGCCCCGCCAGCCTGCAGGAGTGCAATGGTGCAAACTGTACAACCCCTGAACTGTAAAGCAAGACAGCTTGCAGCCCCCCACCCCCCAATCAAGCAAACAAGTGTGATACTTGTTGTTTGGGGGTCTACCATGAATATAAATAAATATATATATATATACATAATAGCCCCAAAACACACCACGCGCAACGTGCGTTCTGGAACGTATACCAAAACGCGCGTTCTGGAACGTGGCTGTGTGGTCAGCAGGCGCAAGGCCCTAATGCTTTTTGCAGGCTCCGGAAAAAGCATGCAGCCCCATCTTACACTGTGCGGCCGCCAGCCAAGTTTCGAAACGTAGGCGGGTTCACCGCAACTAATTACGTGGTTGGCAGGATAGGCCCGAATTCTTTTTGCAGGCTCCGGAAAAAGCATGCAGCCCCATCTTACACACACACACACACCTGCGCGGGGGCCAGCTAAGTTTCGAAACGTAAGCGGGTTCACCGTAACTACGTGATCGGCCGACACAAGGCCCGAACGCTTTTGACGGGTTCACCGTGACTATGTGGTCAGCAGGCGCAATGACCGAGTGCAGGGTCCGGCTAAGCTTGGAAACGTAAGCGGGTCCGCCGTGACTTCAGCAGGCGCAAGTCCCGAGTGCTTTTTGCAGGCTCCGGAAAAAGCATGCAGCCACAGGCCAGGCAAATGTTGCAGCCACACCAAAGGACTCGAATGCGTTTTTCGGGGCTGCGAAAAAGCACTCAAACCAACATTTAGCATAAGGGCAAGCAAACAACTCGGGGACCAGGCGTTTTTCGGGGCGGAAAAAGCATTCAAACCAACATTTAACATCTGGAGAGCCTGAGGGCAAGCAAACAACTCGGGGGCCTCTGGGCGACCCGCGAAGCACACACATGCTTTTTTCGGGGCTGGGAAAAAGCATTCAAACCAACATTGTGCATCTGGAGGGCCTGAGGGCAAGCACTCAAACCAACATTGTGCATCTGGAGAGCCTGAGGGCAAGCAAACAACTCGGGGGCCTCTGGGCGACCGCGAAGCATACACATGCGTTTTTCGGGGCTGGGAAAAAGCACTCAAACCAACACTTAGCATCTGGAGAGCCTGAGGGCAAGCAATTAACTCGGGGGCCTCCAGGGCAAAAAAGGCATCTAAGTTGCCGATACGTGAAAAACTGCCGTGTTCCCCTGTAGAGCTTCTCAAGTTCTCCAGACAGAGGCTTTTGCTGTGGGGCCACAAAAAGGCCGTAGAGCTTTTAGGAAGTTGGCCAGTAGGGCCACATATGCTTTTATTCCAGGGTAAAAAAAGCATCTAAGTCGCCCAGCAATCGCCAGACTGCCGTATTCCCGAAAACGTGCAAAACGGGAGTTCTGAAACGCGCGTTTTGGCAACGCGCTCAAAACGCACGGTGTGAGGTCACTATTCTCAAGCCACTTTTTTGAGAATCCTCAAATCCGTACTTAGGGCAGTCCAGCATGTGCTTTCACGTCCAGCACATCCTGGATTGCGGATTGAGGATTCTCAGAACACTCCTGCAAATCTCCAACTAAGCACAAGTTTGAAGATCCTCAGAAAGTGGTCTGAGAATCTTCAACCTTCAGTCTTCAACCCAGGATGCGCTAGCCGTGCCAGCACATTCCGGTAGACGTTTTTTTTTTTTTTTTCAAGTGGGACAAAAAGCGCTGTCCTTGAAGGCCTGCTGCAAAACCGGTGCCGTGAATGGAACTGCCGAGATGTGGTGGCGCAGTACTTGCACCCCCTGCTTGCATCAGGTCGTGGGCCTACCTTCCAATGCAGACTCACGCAGCTGCAACGGGAAGTCCATCCTACGGTAGCAGTGGTGTGGCCGTCTCGCACGCGGAAAGCCAGCTGCACTGGAGCATTGACGGTGAAGCGGGCGCCGGGTCCAGGAGCGACCCGGGAGATTGGCTGGACGCCACTAGCTGAGTGGCACCTCAAGAACCAACAGGTGATGTTGCGCACAGATGCGGCCGAAGAACATTGTGACCAAGAAGCACGGCAAGAACATTGTTTCCAAGGCGCCTCAGTGAGGGTGGTGAACCACACCATGTGAGATGCCGCGAAGCTGAAGGCGGGCGCTCAGCATGTGGATCGAGGCACCAGGCAGCTCCGCAGATCCGCGCGGACGAATGCAGGCGCGGGCAGGACCTCTCGAAAACCGGGGAGCTTCTCAAAGAGGCCATGGCTGCCTTTGTGCAGTGGCGATGTGCCGGACAAAACATGACTGATGCTACAGGTGTCAAGTTGCAAAGTGTCATCAACAATCTGAAGGTAGGTCATCCAGTCTAAGCTGATCTCAAATGAAGATCATAGAAAATGATCTCCAATAGAAATAAACATCTGTTACCCTGATGAAGTCCAACAGCACATGATTCACCTCTACATCCGATCCACGTCTTTCACATCCTGTCACTTAATCTCAAAGTCTCAAGGCATTATCCCCAGCCTGGCCAAAAAGCTGAGTATTTCACTGAATTATAGAGTTTCATGCTTATGTAAACATCTTGATGTGTACATGATAATTGTCAAGACCAGCGAAGAGACCTGTGACTTTTCTGTGATCAACTCGAGTGCCTCTGGGCACTTTGCTGGACAGCTTCGCATCCAAGTCCTGGCATGCATTTAACTTGGTAGAAGGGGCCGAAGGGGCCAGAGGCCATTTTTGCTGGATCCCGAATCCCGAACTCTCCAGAACGGGTGCAGTTGCCAGGGATCCCAAATTGGGAAGCTCCACTAGACTTCCCTAAGAACTCCGAGCGTTCCGACTCCAAACCAACTAAATAACCTCCAACTGGTGACCAAGCCAGCGGTTTTGCCTCGAAACCAAGCACACAGGCCCCACATCACCGGCCAACGGGAGAAAGGCTGCGTTGTGAATTCTGGCGGAAGGGAGTTTTCTTCCGAGGAACCACAAAGGACACGCCACAAGACTCAACCAAGAACACAAACTCGGACGTGACACGTGGATTGCAGAAGGAGGATCAACAAGACTTGGGCAGTCAAGCTTGCTTTGGGATGGTAAATGGAATCACTGGGATCCCTACTGCACCTCTGCTTGGGGTCGTAAATAGGGTTATAAACCAGGTAAAGCCCATGTAGCAAGTGTTATAGCCCCTGTCTATAACCAAAGGCGGCCAAGTGATGGGTGTTGACAGCCATCGCCCCGTCCTTCTGCACCTCCTCAAGGTCCTCTGCTGCTATGACACCGCGATTCTGGGTTTCTTGTGGCTTCCTGTTACGCTCTAACCAGCCCAACAATGGTACCAACTGCAAAGGAGGAACTACTCCCATATCATGTGCGTGTATGCTTTATTTTGCGCTTGCAAAACCACCAAGCTTCGCATTAATTTGTGTTGGGGAGCGCTCGCTATTTCAACACATATATATAATATAAAGGTATATAAATATACATATATATAATACATATCATACGATCATGTATGTGTATGTCTATATACACAGAAATACAACAGTTACTGTTCAATGTTTACCGATAGCCCCAGACAAGGATGCCAAAGGCCATGCCAGCGAGGTGAGGCACACGTGCGCGTCGCGATGAGTCGCGCGTCGCTGGGCTGCCCCGCGCTGGCGAGTTGCTTCCACAGTAAGTTGCCATCGCCTGAAACGCGGCAGCGCCACGCAACATCTCAAAGAGTCGTTCAAAGGCAAGTCACCAGGCGGCGGGGCTCCGAATCCCTATTTTGACAACAAAGACCAGGTCTCAGTCCTAGATGTGCTGTTGAAGACATAGCTGGGACTGGGCAAACCCAAAAAGCAGCGCCATGTATGTTCAAACAAAATGACCGAAAGGGCCACGGTGGTCCAATCACAACGACAAAGGCTCAAGCCATGTGAGCGCTTTTCAGCAAGTCTCCCACATGACATTCGAATCCAGATGGCAAGTGCCTTTCCTGCAAGGTGAAGTACTTGCAACTTGTCCTGCATAAAAGTTGTCGCTGTCAGGAAGTTCGAGGGTTTCCCTGTTGCAATTCGATCAAAGCTCGCGGTCGTGCCTTGGTTGTTCTCAGCCTTGGCTTCAACAGACTCTCTGAAGCAGTGTGCCACGGTCGATGAATGTGGATTCCGCAATGCACATGACGAAACGATTTTCGTCCCTCGCCCACCCCATCTCTGGTTACCTTGTGTGAAAGTAAACGTAAAGGGCATTGGGGTCAAACAACAAAACAACACGTACAGTTCGCGTTCAGGATCGCTCAGTTGGTACATAGTGCATGCCCCATTCGATGGCCGAGAGCAAGTACAAAGAAGTTTACAGACTCGAGCTCAGGGGCCTTTTCAAAACTGGAAAAATGGATTCCGTGTGGTTTCTGGTGAACTGGGGTTAGTGGCTTCGACTGAGATGACGGCCTTCTGATTCTCAGCAGCTGCCTGCCACACGTAATTCGACAGCCACCCCGTCGATGATCTTTTCCATTAAACAAAGTGTGGTCAAAGCAAGCACAGAAAATCTACACGTTGAAGATGAACATACCTTTTTGTTCAAGGTTGCCTAACAAGGACAACCCCGAGACCAAGTGATGATGTGGATGTGCGCCCCCTTAGCCCTGGCCTTGGGAGTTAGGCATCCTGTACATCCCAAAAAGGGGACTGCCCATTGTGAGAACAAGCTCTCACCAGGGGACCGCAGGTTTTGGTCATTTTGACCCACAGCCAAATAGAGAGAACCCCCTAAAATGGTTGCTTTGCCGGTGGTTTCCCTTGACCAACTACCCAAACAATTATCTCTTGACCTTGTATGTCGACTGCAGATGAATCAACCTCAATCTATCAACCAGTGCATTCATCCTGGGATCCCATTGCGGCATGGGAACATAGAAGATGTAACGGATATTTTTGATAGCCAGCAATAGCCAGCCTTCTCATAAATGGCAGGCACGCAAAAAAGACGATGCCCAGCAACGGGTCCCTGGTCAAAATTGAGACCCTAACCGCCTGGTCCGCCAAACGTCTCAATGCTTCTCGGCAGTCCAGCAGGTGCCCAGCAAGCAGCCTCAGCGGTCGAACGCATGCCGGTCCAAGGGAATGTATGGCCAAGGTCTTGTTGGGGTATGGGGTTCGAACCACCATTCAAACAATGGGGGCTCATATAACCACATTGTTTACCTAAGGATTGGCATCATTTAAATTGGGAGAACCAAAATAATCATGGGAGTTGAGCCCTAGGGATTTTGTTTTATGTGTGACAAACCGTATTGGGTGTTCAACTCTATTAGATCCGTGCGCCTTACAAAATCAGAATATAGGCGACCTGTCACCTCTGCTTCTGCTTCAACATTGTCCTTGTGGCGAAGGTCACGTCAATGAGACTGAGACAGCCAGTGCGTTTGCCAACATTCCGAGGTGAGCCATGAACATAACCTGGAATGGTATGAGTCTACCCAAGAACCATTGGAAGTGTTCCCATAGTCTCAAAACCATCCAGGTTTTGATTCAGCCGAGGCTCTCAGGTGCTCTGGTGCAAATGGGGGCATGCCTGTTTGAGGACACCCTTTTGAGGTCGTGTCGAACACGTCTATGCAAAACCCAGGACAAGCGTCAGGCCATTTTGAGGGTTCCCTTAAGCCCGAAAGGGTAGGGGTCATTTGGATTTGAACCGCCAAAGTGGGCTGCGGTTTCCAAAAGGAGGTGGTCCTATCACACAGCCAAATAAGCTCGAGGCAAATCATCTCCGCCTTTGAGGCTGTCCATCCTGGCTATCGTCCAAGGGAGCCTTTTGGCCATGTCACCCCACTTTTCACATAATGCAGAGAAAAGAAAGGACGGAATCCATCTCAGCTCAGAGGCTCAGAGAGTGCGCGACCTTCAGGGAGGTGGCCAAATGGCTGTGGGTCGATAGGGTACCCCCAAAATGGGTTGCCCTTGTAAGAGGAAACATGGACTAAAAGCTCCGGCCCCCTGATTATTCATTTTGACCCACAGCCAAATGAAAAAAAACAAAAACAAAGACTCGTTTTGAGTCCAAGCCCAGCCGCGAAGCCATGGGATCCTTTTCAGGCCTGGTCTTCAGCTGCTCCATTTCCATCTGCAAGCGCACAGCCCTCTGCAGGCCTCCGGGAAAGCAACTCGGCAGCGGACTTGGCTGTGGAATCAAACTCCCAAAAGATGTATGATGTTTGATACTAGGTCCTCCAGTAGAGAGCTTAGAATAAATTGGTACCAACTTTTTTCGGTTTTGTCTATTTTAGTAGGGGAACCCTCCCCCCAAAAAAAGGTAAAGGGGAACTGCTGGGGGACGGTCCCAGCTTTTTTTTGCGTCTTTTGTTCCCTCGGGTTCCGTTTGGATTTTTGGCAAGCCCCGAAAAGGGGAGTGCCATCAACACACACCCATTGGCCCATGTTGGTTCTTTGGAAACCAAACTTGGTGTGTCTGAAAAAAATGTGAGCCTTGGCAGACCGGCGCTCCGAATCTAGGGAATGCTGGATGGGCCCCTTGCAAATTGACACAAGGAACCTCAACAAGGGCCCCTCGTCACAAGAAGACAGTTGTTCGGAGTTCCGGTATCTTTCAAGAAAGAAGTCGAACCTCGATCGCCTCTTATAAAGGCTTTCTGTGAATCTTTCCAGGGGGCAGGAAGGTAGGAAGATAAGACGAGACCGGTTTTGTTCTCTTGAATTGAGGTCGTGGCTTTCCCGTGCTTCGCTGTTGTGCATGTCACCGTTGTCGCCCGTGTCCTCCCCAGCTCCTGAAAATGGGAGTGGAAGGCGTGGCGCAAAATCACGCTGATCAATTGTTTGGCTGATTTATGAAGGTCGAGAAGGGGCAATTCAGGGAACCCTAACAGCTTCTGCACTGCCTGAAACGCAAGAAACTGGATTTCCAACACATCCCGCTACGAGAACTCACTACCCCAAAATGGCGGATTGATTTCCGAATGTGTGGCTCATGTACACCCAACAAATGTCCCTTGCTGGTTCTTCTTGGTGTCTTGACGTTTCATTTGTTTGAACGGCTCGTCCCCATGTGAGCTGCAACCTTGGAGCTGGGATGGGTTTTCCCCGCAGCTGGGAAGTTTAACCACCAAGCAAACACCTCGACCCCGAGGGGATCTCCGTAGACACCCCTTCTGTTGGTAGCCCCGCCATACAGACACATTTGAAGCAACTCCTCTTGAAAGTGCCTTATGCCCCCCACTACTTAACCAAGTTAAACAAACACAAACAAACGCCAAGAAGACAAGTTGAACAAAGCGCCAATGCCCTCTAATCGCGAAAGTTATAAAGGGTGTTGGCGCCCAAAAAGTGGAACGGCTTCCTTCACCGGAAGTGAAGGGAAAACCGAAAGCGGTCGGGGAGCTCGGACCGTCTGAGCGGCTCGATGGGTCTCCTGCGAGCGCCTCTATCTCCAAGTGCCTCACACCAGAGACAATTCGCTGCGAGAGGTCCTGTCGATTCGATTCGATGAGTTCCACGGTTCCAACTCCAAGGTTTCGAGGGCTACAAATCTATATCATATATATATATATATCCCTCCCCCTGTGTTGCTTTTGCTTCGCAAACTGACCCTGCAATCACCACTTGTGTTTTGGCTCAAGGCCCTTCTTGTACAATAGTGGCATTCATCCTGCGGCCATTACAAAAGGACCTAGCAGAGCGCCTTGCAGGGATATATAAACATTATCAGGACCAGGGACATCCATTCTCAGTTCCTCCGCTATTCGCATATTGGACTCTCTTGCAGAATAAATCCAGGGACCGATGCACATATTCTCTACTACCACAAGGTACCTGCTCCACGGCCCCCCCCAGCCCCCCTTGGTTTGCGGCGGGTATAGGGTTGGTAGGGTTGGTTTAGGTGGGTTTAGGGTGGGTTTAGGGTGGGTTGAGGGTGGGTTTAGGGTGGGTTTAGGGTGGGTTTGGTGGGTGTAGGGTTAGCTTGGGGTTGGTTAAGGGTTGGTTAAGGGTTGCTTTACAGTCGGTTGAGGGCGGGCGTTGGGTTGGCTTAGGGTTGGTTTAAGGTTGGTTTAGGGTTGGTTGAGGGTTAGGGTTAAGTGTTAGGGGTGTAGGATTGGTTTAAGGTTGGCGTTTGGGGTTAGTTGTGGGTTGAGCTGTCCTACGTGTCGGGATGCAAGGGTGCGAGTTCAGGGGCTCGAGGACCGTAGCAGCGGGGTGTGGACTCCGGGGCTCGGGGTAGGGTGGCGGGGGGGGGGGGTTGGGTGGATATTGAAGGAAACCTATGTCTTGTACAGTACCACCGAGTAATATTTTCATTGTTGACATTGTGAACATGGTTGAAGTCTTCTAGGAAACTCTTCTTACTTTTACAAGTTGAACATTCATAAGTCATAGAATAAATGTGTTGAATGATGTTTTCATCAACGGGCATTTTGTCCAACACTTTATAGTTCTTATGGTTTCAATAACATTTACACTGACAGGATATAATCTCATTTGCCAATGTGTTTTTACATTCATTGATTTCAATCAAATTCAGGAATTCATCAATGATGTCTTTTTACTCATCGTATGTAAATTATGATTGGGGCTCATTTTCTCTGAAGGTAATAATAAGGTAATATTTCTTCCGAAAGCATCGCGAAGGGTTCTTTGAAAAAAAACTGTTGCCGGCTACGCAAATGACTTACGCAGCCTGACTTACACAGCCTGACTTACACAGCCTGGTGGCTTACGCAGCCTAGCTTATGCAGCGTGACCTACTCAAATTGACTTATGCAGCCTGAACTACGCAGGCTGGCCTACGCAGCCTGACTCACGTAGCCTGACTCACGCGCAGCCTGACTTACGCAGCCTGACTTACGCAGCCTGACTTACGCAGCCTGACTTACGCAGCCGGACTTGCGCAGCCTAGCTCACGCAGCCGAAGCTCGCAGCCTTTAATTCTATCTTCTTTCTTAGCCGGTCTGGCGGGCGTTGGGGGGATGAACCCTCTGCGGGGATCGTGCGTGTCGGATCGCTCTCGCTGTGGCGCCGTGCGAATTTGCAACTTCGCCGACGAACCTTCTGCGGAGATTGCGCGTGTCGAATCGCTCTCGCTGTGGTGCCGTGCGAGTTTTCTACGTCGCCGACGAACCCTCTGCGGAGATTGCGCGCGTCTCGCTGTGGTTTTTCGTAAAATTTAAGTACGAAAGTAGCACATGAGGCACGCTCCCGCAGCTCGAGAAAAGTAGTACGCAAACTACTCTCCCGCAGCTCCGGCCTGAGATCGCAAGTTTTAAGTATAGAAAAGTAGTATGCGAAGTGTGCTCCCGCAACTCCGGCATGAGAATTGCACATCTTATGTAGAAAAGTAGTATGCTAAGCACACTCCCGCAGCTCCGGCTTGCCAAAAAAGGAGAGAAAGAGACAGAAAGAGAAAGAGAAAGATAAAGGGAAGGAGAAAAAGGGAAAGTGAAAGAAAGGCGGAGAGAGAGAGAGAGAGAGAGAGACAGAGAAAGAGAGAAAAAAAAAACAAAGAGAGAGAGAGAAATATAGAGAGAGAGAGAGAGAGAGAGGGAGCGAGAGAGAGAGGGAGGGAAAGGGAGGGAGAGGGAGAGGGAAAGGGAGAGGGAGAGGGAGAGGGAGAGGGAGAGGGAGAGGGAGAGGGAGAGGGAGAGGGAGAGGGAGAGGAGAGGGAGAGAGAGAGAGCAAGAGAGAGAGAGAGAGAGAAAAAAAGAAAAAAAGAAAGAAAGAGAGGGACAGAGAAAGAGAAAGAGAAAGAGAAAGAGAAGGAGAAGGAGAAAGAGAAAGAAAGAGAAAGCACAAAAGAAAGACAAAGAGCAAGATACAAAACAAGAAGGAGAGAGAGAGAGAGAGAAAGAGAGAGAGAGAGAGAGAGACAGAGACGTAAAGACAAAGAAAGTGTCAAGAGACGGCAAGGTGACGTCCCGTGGGACGCTATGCACCGAACCCTCAAGCTGTAATACCAACCACGTAGAAAGGTGTATACGGACGATGCCGTTATAGCCGAACCCGTGTAAACGTTGTAAGGGAGAAGGAATGATAGTTACAACAGTAGTCCTGACAAATGCAGCGCAAGCGAAGTGTTTTCGCTCTCAATGCCGATCACGTATGTATGCAGTCACACATCAGATCTTGAACCTCAATTGTGTCTTGAGCCAAATGGCGATCAATGGAACTTGGGAAGCAACACCAACAAGGACCTCAGAACAGCTACCCAATTTCGGCACGGGGCCTAGAGGGTTTTAACATCCCCCATTTGGGTCGCATTGTTCATCATGCGGTCCAAACACCACAAAACGTTCCACTGGCCACGGCTTCAACTACGAAATCGTGTCGTGCATTCTTTTACTTGCTATCACTACACCGTTCATTCGCTGTGAAACATGCCGGGTTCGATTGTACGAAAAGTGAAACATTCATCCTCCAATCGAAGCACACATCCATATGCAGGTGTATATAATACACAATGTCGCGTCACTTGACCGCCAGTGAACATCCAGCTGCCGCATTTGCGCATCGCGCAGCTGTCATCCATAAATGGGTTGGCCGAAAAAGTCCACCAGAGGCGCCCGCTTGCAATCGGTCTGCATATTCCGGCAAAGAAACATCGGTGAGTAATCAATGCAAATCATAGCCATTCCAGATACCATGGACAATGCATAAATAATGAAAAGATATCATCTATAAGGTAATAGTTCCATCCATGAATATCCAGAGCGTCATAGTCATCGGAATATGTAACCATGTACACACCCAATCATCTTGGACACATGAATATAAATCATGACATAAGTCGTTCCACCGAAACAGTGTCGATGTGACGCAAGTAACAGATGGGGACTGACCCACATCGTACCGCAATCAGCATCTTCACGAAGCATACCTGTCCCCAATGGACAGCCTATGGGTACGTCGGCGGAACTCCTCGTCCAAGTTCTTCTGGGCTTCTCGTGCCCGGACACACTTCTTGTTGTAGTCCTCTGGCAACCAGTGCCCTTTCCGAAGGCACCAATCCAGCAGGGGTGTGTCGCATTTGTTCGGGTCGATGGCCGAGATGATGGCGCTCACGTTGACCGTGTAACCATTCTTGCCAAGGTTTAGGCCATCCCTCACGAATGATATATACTTACAGTTGAAAGCTAGTGCAAAACATCTGAAAATAATATCACCCACCGGGTGCACTCGGTCCTTGACCAGGAGCTTCATTTCTTCCTTGGTGACATCGAGGATTCTCGCTGCAATCCACAGCTTGTAGAATGTGTAAAGTCCCTCGCATTTGCACACCATCATACGAATATATTCGTCACGCTCCTCAACCGATCGGAAGGCTCTTGTCCGAACATTCTCCGATTGAGAAATCTTCGTTATTGTTGATGGCAAAAGTATACCTTCCTGATCATGCTCGGTGATGTTGGGGTACCTCTTGAAGTCATTGTGATAAGGGCAGCCCGGCCTCCCTTCGAGTCCGGCATTCATCGTTCTCTCCTCACCACCTTCAAACATCCCCCACATCTTGGACAGCTGGAGTGCGATAAATCCTGCCATGTACTGAGCCTCACGCGGCTCGTCAAGGCAGATCGCCATCCGTTGGGAACTTATAATGTCCCGTGACGCCAGATCGGTGTCGCGGTAATGCCAACCGCTGTCTTCTTCTTCTGACGCATAGCCGGATGTATATCCTTGCGTGTCCATGTCGTCATCTTCTCCCGGAACTTCCTCCGCTTCGTCTTCATCCTCCTGTGCTGCCGCATCGTGGTTAGCTTCTTCCTGTGCACGCCTGGCATCTCCAGAGACGTTGGGGTTTTGGTTGTCCTCCTCGTCATCGGATTTGATGTGAATGTAGTATCTTCCGATGGAGATCAGTTGTGCCTCGCACTCCAGGCATAAGCAGAAGCAGGTGGGGATCGCGGTCGCACATGATGGACATATCCGGCACCTCAGTCCTTCCCATGTCTCGTCATTCAGGATGACGACTTTGCTGATTTCGTCCCGGACCTCGTTGACCTGTGCATTGAACTCTTCCATCTTGTTGATTCGATAGAGTTCGCAGGCACGATTAACCATGTCAACGATGTAGTGCAGATTATCGGCACCTGTCTCAGTCTCCGGCATCCTCTCGCTGATCTTTGCGACGTTCTGGAGGAACATCGCAGCCGACTCTTGGGAAGAGTTGACAAAGCCAGGGCAGATCTCGTTCTCCACACACTTCGAGTACGCCCTCTTGATGTCAGCGTACTCCAGGCGCTTCCCTCCGTTGCTTTTGCCAATCCAAATGGACTTGACCTCATAGAACGGGATCACGTCAAAGACCATGAAAGTCCCATTAGCCGCGACTCCAGCCCCATACCGCGCGAGGGTTGCACTGGGAATATAGATGATCGCAATCGGATCCCCTCTCCTCACGTTCCGTAGCGTTGTCTTCGTCGCCACGTTCATCTCATCCCATGGAGCAAACGCCCCGAAGTGCAGTGCTAGCCTGTTGCCG